GCCCCACCTGCTGTTGGAAGCTTCAGCTAACAACGAGATGTGGTGTATGCCTGCTGTTGTTAAGTTGGCACACGATTTCGGTCTTGAGAAACACAAGAGCGGGTCGCTGATCTTTGCATCGTCTTTTCGATTGAAGCGGCTGCTGCTCGAAGCTACCCAGGACTGTGGACGACTAAGGACATCGAAAACCAAGGTTTCGGCATTGCATGCTGATTGGCAAGTGCATACTACTAAGGACAATGATGGACCTAAGGTACATGAAGGACTGGCATGCGCAGCTTTGTCATCGCTTTACTGTACAACTAAAGCCCAGCTAACGCTGAGGCCGGGTCCTAGTCCCGTGGTAGCAGCTGAGAGTAGAAGAGCGATGGCGACCTACGAAGAGCAGTTGGCCGATTTTTGGGGCCGCCAGCTTTGGGCGGCCGTCATCAGTCACGAGTCGATAGGCTTCCAAGAGTCGATTGACGAAGGAGAGTTGCGAGCACTTTTTCAGTACATGCCGGTGCAAGTGGCTGCTCACAACTGCTTTGAAACGGATCGATATCCTGGGCTCAACCGAGTGGCAGCACTGACGCAGTCTGGCATGTCGCAGCTAAAGCCCGATGAAAATCGAGGCCGAAAGCGGGTGCTCATCCTCCTCTCCGACTCTACGACTGTTTTCGTTGCTGGCAAGAGAACGAGGACGGACCTTTCCTCGGATTTGAAGGCAGCGAGCTCGGGGGTCTATCTGCAATACAGGGAGATAATTTACGAACCCCTGTGGGGCAAAACATTGTCCGAAATTCGGGAGAGGGCTCAGATCCTCTGTGACCAGACGGCTCTGCGCTACTCTGGCGACCAAGAGTTGCTGGTGGACGTGCAGATTGTCTGGATGGCGAATGAGATCGTCGGCAGATACGGGATATTTTGCAGCCCCGGCGTCCCGACGTGGTGGGACCATCAATCGCCCATAGAGGCCCGCGGAGATTGGCAAAAGATCTGTCGGAGAGTTTGCCAAAACCTTGAAGCGCTTGCAGACCTGCAGCGCCGTTCTCCATATGTGGGGTCCATTGTGATCTGCACAGGAATTCGCAGCTTCGTCTACGGGTTGCCAAAGCAGTTCGATGAATGCATTGCGCGATTCAAGGACGAAGCGGTCCGTAGAGGACTCGCCGCCTGTGACATCCACCCCTTCCTTGGAGATTTGGCGCTCTATAATGACAACGTCCATTTCCGCGAGGACAGCGAATCCCGCCGCAAGATGGTTTCGGGTTTAGCCCACATCATGCAGATCGAGATCGCCGAGCGCTACGCCTCCAGAGCCATAGCGAAAATGGGCGAAGCCGCCTTCCAATCACTGCTTGCTGAAAATTATTTTGATTCCCGTGGTCGCTACGCAGTGGATAACCATGTCCTGCAAGCGGCTCTTGCGAGGATGACGAGAAGCAAGCAGGTCAAAGCGGAGCCAACGGAGGAGGATCCGTGGGACGACGCATACTGGGAGGAGAAGCGTGACGAAAGTCACGCCGAACTGCCTGCGCCTGAGGTCCCCGACTTCCTCAAGGAGATGAAGATTCAGAATGTCATCAGCGTCGCGCCCGGTGTTTTCGCAACAGAAGAGGAGATCAATTCGCCGGAATGGAACAAAGCCCCACCTAAGGTGGAGGCCGTTACCCCGGCGAGTACTGCGGCTTCGTCTTCTGGCGATATTCGACCAATGCCGATCGACGCATCCATTTATGGTGGAGGCATTCTGTCTGGCGACTCTGGCACCGAGCACGCTGCAAAAAGAGCTCGCCTCGCAAAGGCTGAGGCCGACAAGCAGCGATTGACCAAGCTCGCAGTGCAGGGATCGCGCGGAATGAGGTTCATGAATGACACCTACGACTTCGCCGAGATGACTGGCATTACCCTGTATGATTACTGGAACGAATGCCCCTCGCAAGAGGAGGCCGACCAGTACATCGAAGTGTTCCAAAAAGACATGACGCCAGGCCTACACTACCCCAGATGTGACCACAAGATGGTCACATTTGTCACTGGACTGATCAGGGGCAACTTCGAAAACAAGGGTAATCAATTTAAAATGCGATCGTGGAGCGGGCCATGGGTACTAGCCATGGAAGTGCTTGAGGTTGCTAATCGATGCAGACCTGGAAGCGACATCGGTTTAGGAAGCCTCCTCGACATGATCGCCACCGACAACAAACAGCGCCTTATGTTTCGCGGACCAATGGACAGTGCTGCCGATGCAATTGGCCAACCGGCTTTTCCGGTCTACGTCGGTTGTACGCAAGGCCACTCCAGCAATCTGCAGCTCGACAATGCCTCTATTGCAAAGGCATATCTTACACTGCAGCGTTCTGAAGAGCTGGCTAATGCCGCCCGAGAGGGCAGGCCGTTGATCCCGATTGATAAGGCGCCGCCCAGACTCTATCATCGCACAACACATGATGCGGCGTATGCGATTCTGGAAGATCGTTTGTTGCCTGGTTTTGGAGGTTCTGAGAAGGCGCATTGTTATTTTGCGCCGCTGCCGCTCGAAGAGCAAAAGGCACGTTCAGGACTCCGTGCAAGCGCACCAATTGAGATCGTCTTTGACACCCGGGAGGTCCTCGAAGCTGGTTGCGACCTATTCCTTACGGAGTCTGATGGCATACTGTGCTCCGAGGCAGTGCCCGGCTCGACCATCTTGTTCATCAATGACACGCAACGCGATGTCGTACTTTGGTCCCGTGCGGGAGGCGCTGTCCCTCCTGATGAGGCGGAACAAGGTGAAAGCCCAGCTAACGCTGAGGCCGGCATCGATATCGTTCTTGATGAACCCGAGGCTGAGGAGACGACTCAGGACAATTTCGCACCGCCTATTGATGAAGAACATGGTACCCTTCCAGCTGAGGAAACATCCCTACCGCCCATTCCAGATGTCGCTGATGTGCTTGAGGGATCGTTGGCTATCACCGATGCCCCTGCAAAGGCTGACGACGATGAAGCTCCTGATGATGAGCAAATGCCCTCCGTAGAGGAGAGGCCGCTTGTTGAACCAGGCACCATCATTGCACAGCCGGGTCCTCCAATCAGGACTGTGTACATCGGTGACGGAATGGCGACAACGGTGACGCTGGATGCTGAGGGTACACCAGTTGAAGCAATCCAGGAGCCGGTGGGAAGGCCAGAACCAGTACTTTATGCTGGTAGTGAGACCAAGCCATCCGCCGCGTTTTTGGAGAAAATCAAATGCTACCACTGCAAAGCTGAGTGTCTTCAAGGCCAAAGGATTTGCTCTCAATGCGGAGGGCCAGTTCGACCAGGTCAATTGAAGGCACAGGGCAGACGGACGCTGTTGGCACGTGGGCGTGAAGCTCTGCTTCAGGAGATGGGTGATGCCGCTGAACGAGTGGGAGTGAGGCCAAGCCTTCAAAGCGCATCGAAAGATGTCGCCGGCCGTGGCATGAACTCCTTAGAAGGCGAGGTTATTCGGAAAGCCAAAGTGGCAAAGCAGAGAGCCGTGAAAAAGGGCTACACTGATTGCGTGGCGAGGTTCAATCATGACAATGAATACGCAATTTCAATGGCCAAAGAGGGATACACACGCAGAACGATCCGTGCCCTCGACTGCCTCTGCTTCGCCTACCTTCCGAACCCTGGCCGCACTCGATCGCAACGCATGCTGGCTATTGGATCCTCCAGAGCGGCGAGTTCCACGCACCAGACCCGCACGGACGAGGTTCCAGAGTGTCGTATCGTTTTCTTTACCGGAGACGATGGCATTGGCGGTAAGTTGTGCGCAGCGGGACTAACGTCCACGCCGGAGGATACGCCAGTAGCATTTACATGGTACGGAGCCATCCTTTCGTTCCAAGATTTCGCTCACAACATCGCCAGGCAAAAGGGGGGCATCCGTCTACAGACTTTTGGCCACGGCAAGGTGGATTTCCTCAACTACGATCCCGCTGCAGTGGGTACGGACCTGCAGACCGTTTTGGCAAAGGACCTACCCTTCATGGTGGAGACGGTTGATGAAACCATCAAAAAGGCCAATCAAAGTCGTGCTGCCCAGCCGAAGTATGCCCAGCAGCATCCGCCAGGTGGTGGCAAGGGCTCTACATATGCCCGAGCAGCAGAGAAGGGAAAAGGCAAAAGCCCGGCTAACGCCGAGGCCGCCGATCGCACCAACCGCGACTGGGACTGGGATAATCAATCCTGGTGGCAGAATTGGTCTTCGTCATCCTGGGGAACATGGAGCGGCCAGAACTGGGACAACCAGAACTGGCGTGAGTGGCGCAATCGCGGATGGCGTTGGAACTGATAAGCCGACCCAGTAGTCTGATTCTTTCGAGCAAGAGGGATGTTCACCCGGCCTATGATATTTTTCAAGTGGCTGTGCGGCGAACTCCTATCATCCTTGCTCCACGCTGAAACCAGCGTCTTGCATTTGAAGAAAAGCTTGCATGTAGTTTTTCGCACCCTTCCTCGAGGCACACGATAGTCACATGTACTTTTGCTGAACTGATGACGCGGGAGGCAACTCCACGCCGATCGTCAAACTCCGAGCCGAAGCGCTCTTCCACCTGCAGGCGAAGGTATGCTGTGTTTTTGGATGCAGTGACCGTGCCTTTAGGTGAGGGGGGTGTAGTTTTGCATCGCAGCTTGCGTAGGAGTTTGTATGGTCGTGTACAGTCATCATGTTGTGTATACTATACCGTGACGTTCGTGCCCAAGCCCTCTGAGTTAAAAGAGCCGTAGTCTCGCTCATGGCTTAACGGTTTTGGTGTATTCTATAATAGCTCCAAAAGCAGCAGCAACATCCAGAACCAACAGCAGCAGCAAGAGCACCACCACCCCCACCACCCCCCCCAACCCCCACCCCCAGCCTGCCCCACCCCACCCCCGCCTCACCGCGACGCCGACGACCGCAAGTTTCCCACCGCGCTTGTCATCAATATCAGCAACATCAGAATGGCTGTTCTTGTCTTGACGGTTATGACTGCTGTAGTGACCATAAGTTTTGGACTGCTCAGGATGGTTGTTCACAGATGGCTGCCAAAAACCGAAGTGTGTCCTGACCTTGCAATGGTCCGCGTGTTCTTTACCGTTTCTATTGGGCTGAAGTTTAGCGATTGAGGTGAGCTGTGGGATCGGGGAATGTGGTTGATGCTTCAGGTTCAGGGCCAACTTGATTGGGTAGAGACCGATCCTACTTGAGTTCATCCGGTAGCGGGTGTTGAGTTTGGAGGAGCCGTCACAAGCCGTAAACCAGGAAACCTAGACCATGACGTGGATGCAAGGTGCAGCCTAAGTTCTCTGGACTTCATCACATCGCGGTCTGAAGTCATGGCCCCCTTTTGCAGTGCCTGTTCGGCTAGACGCTTCTAAAGTACGAGTTGCAATAATCGCCCTGACATCCTGCAAGATGCAACCGGATTCTGCTGACCAGTCTCCCGCATCAAGAAGATGAAACCCAGAGCGTCAGCCTTGCATCTTCATCCCTGAACCCCGGAACCTTCCCTCAGTCGGGAGATTCTTTTCCCCGAATCACTACCTACGTCGAGCCCTATAAACCCTAAGACAGCTCAGGAGTGCCTCTGCAACTCCTGTCAGTCGTCCTCGCCAGCTATGCCTTGGTTACAGGAGGATACCAACCGTGTTGAGGCGCACGGGTCTGAAGGGAGAAGGCAGACTTGGCTACAGACTGGTTTGTAGGGTTTAGGGGTTTAGGGTTTAGGGTTTATCTGCTTCCATGACTTAGCAACTTATGAGCTACGATCTGTCTGGTTGCATCTGGAATGTACGGTTTTGGTGATGCTTCTAATAGAAGACTTCTCATCTACATTCCCTGCTCGGGTTCTGTAAGGTTGACCTTGAATTCCGAGCTAAACCCTAAACACTAAACCGTCCCTAAACCCTAAACCCCTGAACCCCTAAACCAGTTGTTTCGGTCCAGCGAGCCGGGTTCAGAATTCAGGGGAGCTCCTTTCTTCCATGGAAGCCTTAACCCGGAATAACCTTCCTTTTTGAGAAATTCTATAAGGAACTCATGCTAGGGAACCCTAAGAAGGCAGGTTCTGAAGGGTCTAAGCATGTCTTGAGACAAAGGGCTGCAGGAGACGTCGCCCGCCTGCAGGGGTTACGACTGAAACCTCCATCCTGGGGGTCCGATATGGCTCCATTTCCCAAAGTACTTCTACCGTAGAATGTAGGGTTTCTTATATAGGAAGTACTATTTATGGTTTGGGCAAGTATAGCCCATAGAAGTACTTGGGACCTCACCCTTTGGGTTTGTCCAATCTGAACGTCGCAGGGCTTCAGGGAATTTCTTTGCCACGTGAGTTTGGTGGCCTGTACATTGTATTGGGGCCTGAGGCGGCTTAGGACTGATCTGATGGAAATCAATATGCGTCAGGTTGGCATGGTCACCTACAATGCGAACGAGGGCATTGTGACACATACAGGCAGGAGACACCTCATGTGGGCCAGAGCATGAACTTGACTATGGGCTTGATTGTGCGTCCTGTGTGCAGCAGGTGGCATCAGGTATGTAAGGAACAGGCGAGCAGCATTGCTCGCAATGATGGTCAGAATCGCCGATTCCTGTGACGATGCAACGCACATGCATGCTTGCGGCAGGATGTGGACCATACTAGTGACTAGTGACTGGCGGTGTGATGAGTTGCAGCATAGCCGCATCGCATCAACTACTACTACTGTACTTAACGGTTGTTCTAGGTCGAAAAGTGGTATTTCTGTAGTTATGCCGCTTATTCAAGTAGCTGAGCTGGCTTGCCAATACCGAAATTCGTCGATCCTGTAAACCTGAAAACTTAAACGCCTGAACTCTCAAGGCTAAGCTGTAAAGCCCCACTAAACAAAATGGCACGTCATCCGAAACCCTTGGACCTTCACACCCTATAGACACCCTTGCCGCTTTGCCCGTCGAAGGTGTGAACTTCTGGTTCACCCGTGGTGGTCGCGTGCTGAAGCGGATTGAGACACTCGGTCTGACCGAGAGACTAGGGCCAGAATCGTCGCGCTCGTGCGGGGATGAAGGCAATAATGATACCAGCAAGCATCATCACCACCTTAAACAATGCAATCAATCATCCTAATCAGTAACCCCATAGTCATACGTGCAAGGGCATGACAACAGGACCAGTACGCATACTGGATTCGAGGTACTGCGGCCTGCTATCTGCATCTTCCTGTCTTTCTGTCTGTCTGTCTGTCTGTCTGTCGGTCTGTCTAACCGTAACTACCTATCCATCTATCTCTGTCTATCTACCTATCTATCTATTTGTTTATCTATTTATCTAGAGAGAGAGAGAGAGAGAGAGAGAGAGAGAGAGAGAGAGAGAGAGAGAGAGAGAGAGAGAGAGAGAGAGAGAGAGAGAGAGAGAGAGAGAGAGAGAAGAAGAGAGAGAGAGAGAGAGAGAGAGAGAGAGAGAGAGAGAGCGAGAGAGCGAGAGAGAGAGAGAGCGAGAGAGCGAGAGAGAGGAGAGCGAGAGAGCGATGAGAGCGCGGGAGAGCGAGAGAGCGAGGAGCGAGAGAGCGGACGAGAGAGAGAGAGAGAGAGAGAGAGAGCGCGAGAGAGAGAGAGAGAGGGAGAACAAAAGACAGAAAGAACGAAACAGATAAAGAAAGACAGAGAGAGAGAGAGAGAGGGAGCGAGAGAGAAATTGATAGAGAGAGAAAGAGAGATAGGTAGATAGATCGATAGATGGTCAATAGATGTGTTACGCAGGGTCTCGTCTTATCTCAAGTTCGAGACTTCAGCGTCGGAAGAGCCTCGAGTCGAATGCTGAAAAAAAGGGGCCTAAATCATGACCTATACTACTTTTGGGGTTCCTCATTATACATATAGTAAAAAGGGCCCCAAAACCCTATTCTAATTAGTAAGGCCCCTATATTAGGGCCTTCCTCTGCGGTTCTCTTCTCGCTGACACGCATACTTTTAACAAACGTAAAATCGATCGGGTTCCATTCACTGGAATAGTCTGTTGCTGCCCGCGTAGTGCATGGCCCCATACTGCATGATTCAACTAACTTGGAGCTCTATGGAAGTTTAGGTTTGGTATGTCATGGGGTTTTGGGGGCTTACCTTAACCCTTGTTCAACCTACCTTTTTAGGGTTCCTTACTATAATTTCCTCACATAAGTCCTTAAAGAGGTAGGTCATTTGCGGTCAAGGTAGGGCATTCATGAAGCATCTGTCGGTTTCTGAGCTGGCGTGCTCAGATTAAGTAGGAGTGAAAGTTCTTTTTCAGTCCTAATATAGGGGCTTTCATAATTGGAGTAGGGTTTTGGGGCCCATTGTACTATAATTATAATTAGGAACCCCAAGAATAGTATAGATAATTATTCATATTGGGCCCCAGCTTCACGTGTCAAACTTAAGGTCACAACGGCACAAGCAGGATGGCAAACCTGTGCTAATCTAGAGTCCAGCCAAGGACGATGTCGATTTGGGTTGATGCCTCACGTCCGGATGTGGCCTGCCGCAGATCATGAATCTGGCTACACTGATTCGCGGGAGTTCATACAGAACAGCCTGCATTTTCTCAGAGCGATTGTCTCGAATCCGGCATCTTGGGCCCCCTCCAGGTATATGGTAAACATGGGTCGTGCACAGCCCGATAAGCCGCTGCGCTCTTCAACCATCGGAATCAGAGACCTCAAAGCCCAAACACAAACTCGCAGTAGCTACCCATAGTCTCCATTTGGGCGCCTTTTCTGGCGAAACCCATTTTATTAGTTGGGGTTCCTGCAGGATCCTGTAAGGTAATGCACAAAAGGAACTGCAATGGAGACTATAGAAATCAGCCCTCTCCAAGCAAAGCGTCTCCCCGTGCCTTCGAAGGATAATGTCTGACGGGACCTCTCCATGACCCAAACCTTAACCCCGCATAACCAACGTTTGTCAAGGCCTTGTATCAAGAAATCATAATAAGGTGCCCTAACGAACGTAGGTATTCTAGGGTAAAGGAAGGCTTCAAACACCACAAGGTGTCCAATCTCTGGACAATGGTCTTCGGTATCATTTGGACGCTGCTGCTTCTTCACATCTTCTGTACCGAGGTTGGGTCGGAGGGTCGGTTTCGGCTTCAGGGCATCCTTATGATCTTCTGAGCATGATCGAGTATGTAAGTGTCTTTCCCTGGGGCTCCAGTTACATAGATATTAGTTACTCATATAGCATGAACCCCAGTAACCCATTATGAAGGTAACTGGAGGTGTCCTTGTTTTCCAGCAACATACAGTGCAGAGTATGCTTTGAAGATTTAGTCTAGGAGGACTCAATTTCCAGGCCGAGGGATCAGTCCGAAGGTTGCCTAGCAGCATGTTTGTACATGCTCAGTGTATCTGCATTGTTGGGACTAGACCACACAAGGCTCTCGCTGCAGGATTCACTTGTGTTGTGCGGCCCTCCAGATACAACTGACTAAGCACTCTTTGTTGTTGAGGCCCTGCAGAGAGCTCGGGCTGACCATGCCCGAGCTTTGCAGAGCTTTGATCCAAGTGAACGAAGTATGAAAATCTCTCGAAGAATTCTTCCTAGATTTTATTGCAAGGTCATTTCCCAGACCTTGCTCTCATCGTGTCATCCGTGGTTTCGGAGTGAATTGCTGCAATCCGAATAAACATTGCATGCCGTAAGTCGCATGATCCCAGAATAGACTCGAAACGCTGAACCTTGAAAGGCCACGCACAAGACATCTGTAAGACCACACAAGGACCACAAGCCTGAGAGGCCGAATGGTGTGGCCTTGCCCTCACTTCAAAAGCTCCAGCGTGTCGAAGTCCGAAATGACGCAAAAGCATTGTATATACAATTGAATGCGGTATCCTTGGTGGACGGGATCCGCTTGAAAACTGTCCGAACCGCCCTATGCGAATCACGAACCCAAGCCTTTTGCTTCTGACCTGGGAAACGCATCGTGTCGCCACGCGTTTGAACCAAAATAGGTATCTAACCCATAATAGGTGCCAAGAAGTAACTGCCCTGAGACCAAAACATGAGGCCATCTGCTCTCCAAGCACTGGGGCCGAACTTATTGGTTTGCAAAGGGAGGTTTCGGTTCAGGATTTGGGGCTCTGTGGTGAAGGTCAAAGAGATTGCAATCATCCTGATCAACGCTGACACAGTTTGGTACATGGCGCTGCTCGAGGACACTACTTCTGCGAACCCAGGGCGTCTCCTACGAAGTTGCAAACTTTCTGCGTTGTTCCCTGTGACTACTTGTCATCGCTGGTTTTTCCCGATGCTTGACAGTAGGGGCTTGCAGATGTCTGATAGTAGGGTTTGTCTTGGGTGGCAGGCCATCCTCTTCATAGCAACACTTCTTATGAGGTGGAGTGTTGCATAGCTTCAATATAATGAAAGCCCAACCTCAAGTTACACGACCTGCTTGGCGGAGAGGCTATAAGTTCACCTCATGCTTGTGTCAGTGTTTTTTGACTATAATATTGTTATTGTTGATATGATTATTGCCTATTGCTATTGCCATTGCTATTGTTATTGTTATGGTTATTGGCTTTGTCATCAGTATTGTCAGCATTGATGTTGCTGGTATTGTCATGACTGGTTTCTAGGACGCTAGGATGATTATAGCTACGGTTTTCTTACTTTATTTGCTATGTCTAGCTATGTAGCTCACAAGCAGGCTCGGTCTATAGGTACTGCAATTGCATTGCACTTTACATCCCGCTCACCGCATCTCTTCGAAAAGGAGTACGTGGGCTTCTCTAACACTGTGGACTGGATCTCCCTCATCGTGGCCACGGTTCGGGCCTGAGCGAGCTAAGGGATTGAGCTGTTTGGGAAAACCCGAACCTCAAATGTGTGAGCCTTCACTCTCAACCCTGAGCTCAGCTTCCTCGAGCGTCCATCCTTCGAGCTGATCGGGTGTTCTCCTTTCGGGGGCTGAGGGCATGGGCGAGATACTCGGGAGGAATCTGCTTGGAGGATCATGGGACTTAGTAAGTAGGGTTATAAGCACCTTAATTGGGGCTATATGTCATTTTAATTGCAGTTACCTTACTTATAACCCCACCTACTAGGTCCCATGATCCTTTAAGGATGGCAAGGGAATTAGGGTTTCGCTTTGATGCAGGGCTTCCAACTGACAAGACTGGCTCTGCCGTCCTTCGTTGGGCTCCGAGCTTCAGGTTTGACGCGAAGAGGTTCCGTCGAGAACAGCCCCTCAGACCTTTACATGCTAAGGCAGGATAAAACCGACAGCCCCCGGCTTGAAGCAGCATGAGCCTGTCCAGCAACAGCCCGCGCAACTACAGTCAGCAGTGTCGTTGCCTTGAAGCTTCAATGTTTCTTGCCGCAGATCGTCTGGAAGCTCCGTAAGGTTTCGTATCCTGGAGCTCGGAGCTCTTTCTCAGTCCCCATGTAGCAACACTTCTCTGTTACTTCGTACTGTCGCAGCCTTTGATCGCCTCCGACCAGGTGGTTGCGGTTTTCTTCGTGCTGCTGTCATATCAGTCTACCGAGCTACAGGCGACACGTTCAGAAGAGCCAATACAGGGGCCTTCATAGTTGCCTATGCAGGGTTCCTTATTACAATTATGGTATAGTGGGCCTCAACATCCTATTCTAATTATCATTAAGGCCCCTATATTGGCAAGGATTGTCTTGGAACTTGTTTTGGTGAAGAGTCTTGGTTTTCAGGATTTCGAGTTCGGCTTTGGAACGAAGTACAGGTTCACAATGCAAGGGTATTATAGGAGTCAGCATGGCGAGCTTCACGGCCAAGTATCTCCAGCGGCAAGTGCCAGATTCCAGACAAAAGTCGACTAGCGAGGTCATCGACGGCCCGTGCAGCGCTTATCATGCCAAGCATTGATCCGTTTCCTTCCAAAAACAATCCAACAGCAAGTGCCTTCGCTTTGTGTGCATATATTATGTCTGTGTGTGTGATTTTGGGTATGGGTGTCGGGGAGGTGCCATTGTTCATTTGTATGTGGCATGTTTTGTTAACTGTGTCTTTCGATGCTGATGTAGGCATATGTGTGTGCATACAGGCACGTACGTACATGGTAATATCAACCACGTGAATCTGCTCATACATACATTATTGCAGAGCGTAGCATGTTTGTTGAAGATGAATTCCTAGTCGTCGTTTAGTACATCTCCCCTCGACGCACGGGTGGTCTCCTGCATGTATGGGAAGGTTTATTCTCGAGAACAGGGTTCTCGGATGACTCGATTTGCCGTCAATAGCTTTCATGGGTCTCATACCGAAACCCGTTAACATCGAGTCTAGCCACTACCTCCTTTCCCTAAAGACAGTATAGGCACAGACCATTATGTTTCTTTGCAGTCCTTGAGGTGGCCATGAACGTGATCCTGCAGTCTGAAGCTGGCGCAGATCGCGAGGACCAGTGTTTCAGGGCTTAGGGTTGAGTGTCTGCGTTGCCGGCTTGCTTCGGGTGGAACCCCTGTGCATATTGAAATTCATTCTTCACCTTGAGGCTAACAAGCATAATGGCAGTGATAGGACAAACCATGCTACTACGACTACGAAAAAGAATAACAACAGTAGTTATGATAGCAATACTAACAGTAGTAATCAGAGCAACCTCAGTGGCAATAACAGTAACAACAAAATAGTGAGAATAGTAACAACAAATCGCATTCGTTGGTGTCAGGTCGAGGAACTATCCTCTCCGACAGAAGATAATGTGTTCGTTCTGCATTGTAGAGAAGACGTTGATGTTCAGGGGTCTTAGTGCAGAGAGTAAGGTGATGGGAGGTTGGAGAATATGTCAAGCCACGGCGTGGTCTCACTTATTAATACGTCTTCTGTAGTATCCTTAATCTTTAGCTTTACTTCCCAGAGCAGCAGAATCTGCATGCAAATGGTGTGTGTTTTGGTACTCTGTTGTCGCTCCGGTTCATTGCTATGTTTTTGAATCAATTAAGAACGGAAATGAAAGCCGATGATGAGGGGAGATTGGAAACTTAGATCGCTCCGGTACAAAATAATTCGCGCAACCACAGCATCAGGGAGGTCTCAGCAAGGTGCTAGCCGCTAGCCCTAGAATGCCGCCAGTATATCCAGCTAAGCGTGTTCTTGATTTAGACTTTGGTCATGCGGAGATGCTTGCATCATTGGAACTGGGGTGTAGTGTATTTCTCATAGGCGATCTCGAGACTTCATGTAACAGGGATGATGTTGGGCTCTCGTTGGTAGAGCAGTTTGTTTGCTTCGTGCCGGTTTAGCAAGTTGTTTTTCCCCGGTAAGATGCCCAATGCAGAAGCCTGATTCACTAGTAATGCAACTTCCCAGGTTGTCGTTTAAATAGTAGTGTCAGCAACATACCCCGAAAAAGCCCGACACCCCACTCGAACTATATTCCGGCTCTTTCTCTCTCTCTCTCTCTCTCTTTCTCTCTCTCTCTCTCTCTCTCTCTCTCTCTCTCTCTCTCTCTCTCTCTCTCTCTCTCTCTCTCTCTCTCTCTCTCTCTCTCTCTCTCTCTCTTCATATATATATATATATATATACATACACTCTATATATATATATATATATATGTGTAGTATATACATATATGTATATACATATATTGGCAGCTTGCAGGCTTATGAAGAGTCGGTGGCAGCCTGAGAACAGATACATGGATGTTTGAGGCTTCGGGCTTGAGTCCCAGGACCTCAGGGCTGCTCACAGTGTTTCAGGGTTTTAGGGTTTATAACCGGGTTTATATAGGGTTTAGAGTTTTGGGTTTTAGGGTTTGGGGACTTTCGAGTTTAGGGTTTTCCGGTTTAGGGCTTCTGTAGGGTTTTAGAGTTTAGGGTTTTGGGGTTAGAGGTTTTGGAGTTTAAGGTTTTGGGGTTCAGGGTTTTAGAGTTTAGGGTTTTGGGGTTAGAGGTTTTGGAGTTTAAGGTTTTGGGGTTCAGGGTTTTAGAGTTTAGGGTTTTGAGGTTCAGGGTTGTAGAGTTTAGGGTTTTGGGGTTTAGGGTTCTAGAGTTTAGGGTTTTGGGGTTTAGGGTTCTGGAGTTTAAGGGGTTTAGGGTTTTGGGGTTTAGGGTTTAGGGTTCAGGGCGGGATGTTTCCTCGCACTCTATTGGGTTTGTTGGCGTCCGTTTGCAGGTTCATTTAGGCCTCGGGACGCAAGCATCAGATGGGGGTTGAAAGTCGACTTGCAGAGCTGCTTGTTCCTGACACTGCCAGCACTTGACATTTGCTGTGTCTTAGCAAATCACCTACCAACAAGTTCTGCACCCCCCTGCTTAAACCTACTTTGTGCAGATCTTTCCTTCAGCATCACACATGGGAGCAAGGATAAGGCTTAGTCTGGGCATTACCGGCACAACGATTTGAGTCTTCCTACAACAGGGTGAACGGTATGCATGCGAGTATGTGTATAGACGGTTGCTCCTCACATCCCCCCTGGCAAGATCGAATCGAACTATCAGCCAGGCCAGTCGCGTACTTGACCCTGTCAGGTGCCAGGCTCCTCTCAAACCCGAAACCCGAAGCCCTGCACCCCAATACCTTGTTAAAGCAAGAACTGCCCTAAGGGTCCATGTACCCAAATAGTATATACTTTGGCCTTATGGGCCAAAGTATCTACTATTTGGGTACATGGACCCTTAGAACTGTCGACCTCGGAGCAGTTTGAGGTCAGCCAATTCTTCGCGCAGTGCCAGGCAGCCCTTGAGCAGGACCCGGGCAGCAACGGTACAGGTTGCTGTAAGGCTACGGCGTCTGTAGGTGGCTCTAGGCTTACTTGGAGGGGCGGGGGACTTAGTAAGTAGGTTATAAGTAGGGTTGTAATTGGGGCAACTCCATTTAGGGTACTTATAACTCTACTTATAACCTACTTACGAAGTCCTCTGCCCCTCCAAGTAAGGGCTACCGTAGGGGATACTATGAGGGTTCTCTCCCAGCCTCAGTTGTTGATTTGCTGCAATTTCAGGCCTTTTCGGGCTGGTGGGTTTTTGCAGTTCCCCTAAACCCTAAACCCTAAAGGTATACAATGCTTGGTTGCCAGGGTTTCCTGGCGGAGATGAAATCATGCTCGAGAGTCATAGCCGCCTACAGTCGATGGAGTTGTGGCCCTTTGGCGTCCAGCGAATCCAGTACGACTATATTTCACAGATGGCCTAATCGATCATAGATTTAATGTTGCGGACAACTAGATATGGGTAATTTTGTAGCATGCTTCATCATGAGCGATAGTGGCGGTAGTTTACTTGCTGGCTGGACCAGCGGAGCGGAGCACTGGCAAAATACTGCCATCAGCCGAAACCCTAAACCCTTAAACGAAACCCTTAACTCCTAAACCCATAAACCCTAAACGCCTAAACCCTAAACCCTTAACTCTGAACCCTAAGTTCAGGAGAGGAGCAGTCGCATCATGCTCAGCATCTACCCCTTCATGCTACTCGGAGCTCATGTGATTCACCGGTTCCCTTTATACTCTAGGGCTTAGGGTTTAGGATACTGTTGACCTAGACATAGTGGCCTTTTGGGGGCTATACCCGGCCGGAGGATGCACTTCAGCGAGATTAGAGCAAGTGGGACTCATGAAAAAACAGAGTTGGGTTCGTTTAAGAGCAATTATAGAGGTCGAGTCTGAGCTGTGTTCATACTGTAACCCGGCTCCGGCTCCTTCGCATATCTTGCAGTACATTCTGGTGAAGTGCGAGTTCAGGGAATCATGGTCTGGTTCCCACGGACAGGACGACGCATGGAAAAAGCTTCCAACATCGACCTGCGAATGTTATGGTGAAACCGTTTTGGCCGTCAAGGCACAGCCTCAAACTCCACCGACGCCAAGCCCAGGGCTCTAACCTAAACAGGAATCCTAGATTAAGCACAGCCTGGTTCCCCAGAGCTTCCTTTATTTGGGAGTTCAGGGCTTTGAGTTTAGGTTCGGAGCCTTTGAGCTGAGGGTCGGGTTGAAACTACTTGGAGGATCCTGGGACTTGGTAAGTATAGGGTTATAAGTACCTTCATTGGGGTCATAAGTAATTACAACGGTAGTTACATTACTTCTAACTCCAATTACTAGGTCCCATGATTTGAGTTGGGTTGAAGAGGGAATGCACTCGTCACTCCTTGGGGCCATCAAAGAGCAGAGTCAGAGCTACGTGACCAGTCTGCTTGTTGACGAAGCCTTTGGTTTAGTATTGTAGGACTTCGGGGGCCTTCACCGGAGGTGTCTCAAGTCGCAGCTGTTACTGCACGAAACCCATGCACCCTAAACTACCCTAAACCCTAAACTACCCTAAGCCCTAAACTACCCTAGCCTCAAGTGCCCTCAACAGCGCCTTTGAGTCCCCAAGTCCTAGGCTGATGTTGCGTCTTCTGAAGTCTTTCGATGCACAGCCGCGGCTGGCGATTATTACAGAAACACTGCGGGAAGCCAGCCAGGAGTACACGGGGTGTGGGGCTCGAGGGCTTAAGTTTTAGGGGTTTAAGGATTCCGGGGATTCTTCAGCGTTTTCGACCTAAGGTTTGGGGTTGAATTAGAGGGTTAATCAGCGCCAGGAAGATATCGCGAGGTGTAATCAGGTCACTCACTTTTTTCGGACTGGGGGCACGGCGGGGCACAACGTGGTTGAAAGAAACAACAAGAAAACCTTGCTCGACATCGGCACTACAGGCATGTCAAATCAACATTGTGATGTTTGTCTTGGTTCACGGTCAGGTCTTATGAGTCACTTATGAGCAAGCTTCAAGGTCAATAGCGAACTCAATTAGCAAGTCAGAAAGACGGCGCGGAACAAACTAAAGTAGGACATCAGCGCTCTGCGTTACTACCCATCATAGTAGGCTATAGGTGTTATCAAGGTAGTAAACGCAGTAACAGCCGCAAGACAGCGACTGCACTTATGCCTCTGCTTGTCAGCAGGAAACCTGCAGTATCGCCAGATGGCCAGTAACACTACCACCATCTTCGTCGTCATCATTATTATCATCATCTCACTCGATCTCCAAGGAGGCCGTGAAATTTCAGCATGTTTTGGGACTCGAAGCGAGCCCTCCTGCCCTTGGAAAAGCCCACAGGATTGCAAGCCCTGTTGGCAAACTACAGGTACAAGTCCCGATCCACTCCGCAAGTGATGCTTCCAACCTGCGACCCGGTCTGCCCTGAGACTTAAGATGCAACTGCTCTAGCAATCTTGACAAAGCCATCCACACCCGTGAACCGTAAGTCGAAGCCCCTCGATGCTCCAGGACATGCTCCATTTCGGACTTGCCTTCTGCGGGGTCTGCGTTTGCCTTTGCCTTCAGTCGGTGCTCATCTTCGGGCGGGATGTGGAGGACTTCTGAGCTTTGGCTTCGTGCGGCTCGGGGCTAAGGGCGGCCTGTTCGACGATTGAAAAGTTGTAGAGTTGAATACTGCTTCGGTTTCTATGCAGCTTCGAAGGACAAAGAGATCACTATGCTCTGTATCTAGTGAGTACTAGTAGGAGTAGGTGTGCTGTAGGTGTAGGAGCAGGAGCAGGAGCAGGCGGAAGAAGGAGTAGGAGCAGGAGCAGGAGCAGGCGGAGGAGGAGCAGGAGTAGGGGTAGGAGTAGGAGTTGGAGTTGGTGTTGGAGTAGTAGAAGCAGAAGAAGTAGTAGTGGTAGTGGTAGTGGTAGTAGTGGTAGTAGTGGTAGTAGCAGTAGTAGTAGTAGTAGTAGTAGTAGTAGAAGCTGAAGACGAAGAAGTAGTAGTAGTTGTTGTAGGAGCAGGTTAATAGTTATAATATTCTTAGTAGTAGTGATAGTATTAACGATCATGATCGTCAACAAGATCTCCAACCCTAAGCTGGCATAGCAGGACTTGGGCAATTTCGGGAGAGCCCTTCATTTCGCCTTCAGGCGCCGTGGCAGAAAACATACGATGTGAGGTTAAAATTCAGGGTTAAGAGTTTAACGTTGTGGTTATGCAGGTCTAGGGTGTTAAGGTGTAAGGTTTGTGAGGGTTTTAGAGTTCAGAGCTTGAGGGTTCGGGCCTTCAGCGTTCAGGACTCTGTTGGCTCCCAGAGTCTGTTCAGAATGTTTCACAGCTTGTGCTGAGGATCTTTGAACCACTAACGGGTAAGTGAGATGTTCAACACAAGGGTCTCAGATGCGTTTGGGAGTCGTTCGGATTCGGCTCGGCTGAGATGCCGGCAATGAGAGGCCGACTTTCAATGAGTTTTCTCGCTTTTCGGGATGTTGGCTTTCATTCAAGTGTCGGATGGCATGTGAGGTTTTGCATGGTCGTGCCTGGAAAAGTCAGGCCGTTTCCGAGCTGAGGCTCTTTCATTCAAATGCAACTGCAATGTCGCATCGTGGGTTGCTGTTCTCGCCAGCTCACCCACCTGCATCACAATACTGTAGTTTATCATTTGTCTATGCTTCTTATTGGTGATATAACCATCGCTGTGTTGTCAATATAAGTTTGTTGAAGCTATTCATATGATTATGCTCATTCTCTTATGACTATTTTGACTAATTATCGTTAGAGTCTGCTTTTGGACCGCCTGGGTTTCAGTCTTCACTCAGCTCGAGAGCCTGTGCGCCCCAACTGCAATATCATGGCCAGAATAACTTTAAACTTCCAAAACCTGCTTCTCTGTAGGTTTTTCTTATATACCCTACTACACTTTAAACTTCCTACATACTTGCTTCTTTGTAGGTTTTTTGTATTATATACCTTATTATAGAATGTACACGGGCCATTCATTGTGGTAGCTCAAGGTAATACTATACTACAAGTTCCTAGGGCTCCTCATTATAACTACGTTATAATGTACACCAACACTCCGAAGACCTGTGTCTCTGTGCCATCGGCAGGATAGTTTTCGATGAGTTCGACGACAAGCACTTCAAAGAGCTGGAGATGGCACGGTCATAAGTGAAGTAATCGAGGGATCGGAATCAACTTGAAACTTAATCCCTGGTGGTCTCTCTCTACGTATTTTCGTATACTACAGTACACACCTATTCCACTGATCAAGGCTCCCTTGTTAAAGTTGATTTTCAGGATTGGTATTTGCAGGTGCTGAGATTTAGCGATGGAAGGTTCTATCCTTCGGAAGCTTTGGGCTTACAGTATGTGTGAAACTAACTATGAAGTACAACTGCGTAAAGGCCAGGAACGAATCAGGCTGAGCCCTTATAGTAATGGTGCAAACAGGCCGCATGCAGAGATTTGCATTTCTTCGCGTAGAACTCTAGCCGCAACCGTCCCTGGTCCCTGACAGGTCCGAGTCTCAAAGCCATGATATACGGGCCTTAATGATTGGGAGAAGGACGCTGTGGACGCTTGTTTGTTCCACCCCGGATCGCAACATGAAACAGTCGGAGCTGAAGGAAACCATATCCCGAAAACATCAAATGAGCAGCACCCATCCAGAAGCAGCCATGGTCCACCCTCCAAGACCTACCCTCATGCACCTTTTGTGTCCAGCACCATCCTTTTCGAAATGCAAGCCGTAAATCCCGCAGGTATCCCGTCCTGCGGCCTACGTGTGGTTCACCGCATTTGAGGCGGGACTCTTTCAAACCGCTGATGTAGAGTGAAGCAGAATGTAGGTGCTAGCTAGGTGACTACTCCTGGTAGCTGGCCGAGTTTTGGCCTTGTGTCTGTAGCGCAAGATCTGTCCTCAGGCCCAAGCCACAAGCACTGAAGCAGTGCTGCTAATGATGTTTATTTTCGCTCGAAGCGCACCTACCACACTGCCGGGTTCCGAACCGTACTTCACAGCAGATCGTTCGACGCTGGCATGTGTGTGGTCGTATGCATAGATGGGTTGTCTGCTAATTTGCAGACGATATGTCATGTAAGATATGATCTGGTGTGATCTAGACTAGTATGATACGATGAGATGATGCGGTATGATATGATGCATATGTCATGGTGCCGTATAGTATGTGACGATGTGGTATGATATTGCGCGAGTTGGCATAATTAACACTGTATGATGCGATGTGGTGCGATCTGGTATGCTATGGCAGAATGACACGGTCCTTCCGACTGAAGAATTTCTTCAGTGCCTCACAGGTCCTGGTTGTAATCATCCTTCTGAACATGCTGCTGGCGATCATCATGGACAACTACATGATGGTAAAGCAGCTCTGCTGAACTGACCGTCACCCAATACATCCCAGTACTTCCTGTTCGTTGGTTTTAAACTGGAGCTCGAGCAGGCCATGCGTCTTACAAACGGACTGGCGGTCCCCGTCCTCGAAGCTGGAAACGGCTTTACTTTGATGCTAAAGCCCTGTCATCCCAGGAGCTGTCACCCTTACAGTAACTTCATGCGGACAAGGGCCAGTGCTGCGCGTTCACCTGTGTGCTGATAAGTCTGACTTCGACCAACACCACCGCTCTTCGAGTAACACCGATTGCTTGTCGAATGCTTCAGGCCATTGCTGGTTTCCCGAGTATAGGGCAGTTGCTGGAGGTGCGTGCATGCATGCATACGAACAAGAAGAACATATGTGCGCACAGGCATGCATACAGACTTACATGCATGCATACATCACAGAGCTATGAAATAGAGACATGCTTAGCTTGCTTGAAGTAAGCAATCGTGTGCCAGAAGCCCCATGCCTCAAGCGGAGGTCGCACCACCTCTGCCCACAGCTATTGGCAACAACGAACCCTGTGATCTGTTGCACAACATCCTGCACCCCTAATGGCGGCTCCTGAACCTGAAACTCCTAAAACCTTCGAATCCAGGACCAAGTTGAGCCCTCCCTGTTCGCCTCCCTTCCAGGAAGCGTGCACGGCTGCGCCAGTCTTTGCTTCACCAGCCCCTGGCCGCAGAATTCCTCCGCTCCTGTGATTCACTCCTAGACAAGTAATTCCGCTGCATGGCGGTCTCATGCGGATCTTGTTCTTCAGAGAATCTCGGCCTGGGGCAGGGGATGCATGGGGCATGGGGCCGAGATGATGTAGCGCCAACTTTCCTGGAATCCAAAATCTAGACCCTTTGTGTTGATTGATGTTGGGTTTCGCAGAGTGGCCCATGAACCCGACCTGTAAACTCTGCGAGTACGATTTGCAGCCCAGGATTCAGGAGCTGTGGCGCCGTTGGCGGATGAATCGCAGAAAGGCCGGGCTCAGCTTTCCGTAGACGAGATCCCTATACGTGCCTTCGTTCTTGCGATCTTATTCGGAACTTAGAAGATATGTGAAGGTAATTAAAGAGCTTCGTTTGAAGCCTCGTGTCTTGCAGGCCTGGAGTTTCGCAGACTTGAAGAATCGGTCGCCCCGGGCCCCGAAGTGATAGGGACTATGCTCCTGGATCCTGCGAGCAGCAACTCGAGAAGCCCTTCTCCAGGGCTTCAAACCCTGAGCCCTATTCCCTGTATAAGCTGGGTTTAGGGTTTAGGGTTTGGGGTTTAGGGTTCTTGAAAACTGACACCCTGCACCGTTTATAGGCCCAGAGCCGACTACATTTGACTTGAGTGGTCTGGATTTTTCCTGAGCAGGAGCGCGTGCAGCTGAAAGAGATCCTTGGCTCATGCATTAGATATGTTATTTTCTATTATACTGTGTTGTGTATATATACATATATATATATATATATATATATATTACATTTAAATACTATACTATATGTAGAAGTGGTCTGTGGTTGTCGTGTTTTGTTTCACGAGGTTTCCCGGTCGCAGACACTAAGACAGCGATCCTTAGCAGGGTCTTGGGCCTCCTGAACACCTGAATTCTGTACTTCAGTAGCTCCGAGGATCCTCCACCCCCTTTTGACAAGAGATTTACACGCAGCTGAGGATTTGGAACGCTTTTGCAGAGGAAGCTGTCTGGAATCGCAAGGCGTCTTAGAAGGGGTTTTGGGGGGTTCCTTGTTATAGTTATAGTATAATACCCCCCCCCCAAAACCTTATTTCTTATTTATTGAGGCCCCTACATTCCCGTGAACAGAGTCGGGGGCAGCCTGCTCTCCTGAACGCTGGAAGCAAGTTAACAAGACAGATCCCCTCAGTCATTCTGTTTTGCGTGTGCGGAGGCTCGGATTTCCTGAGTTCCCGCCCCATATCCTGCAAGGCTCTGATCTGTTTTATGGGGCCAGCCGCTCGAAGATGAATTACCCTCCCAACGTTATCAAAGAAGTCTGCTGCCATGAAGATAGATCGCTGTCGCTCTCGCTCACCCAGTTGCTCACTGCAACTCTCACACTCACACTCACTCTCCAGCTCTGTCTCTCTCTGTCTCTCTCTCTTGAATGCATGCCAGGAGCCCTAGCAAGACATTGTCGAGTCGTTGGGATTGCACCAGCATATGTTCAATCCAACGCCTGAAGACTCAACCCTAAACAGTAGCAGGTGATGTGTCAGAGCGACCGGCTGCTGAACAGCCACTTTCTTGTGGAGCAGCTCTGCTATTTCGACATGTCATTTGTTCCATGCTTGTCAGTTGTCTCTGCACGCCTGACAAAACCTGCAACGATAACTAGAGAAAGGGCGGAGCATGCATTTGATGGGATGCAGCTGCCCCTGCAACATGTCCTGTTCTGAACATAGCTGTTCCTGGACGGATTTCGGGGTAGGCCACAATTCAGCCTGCCGCAAGCCATCCCCCCGCAGCTGAGATTGATACCTGGCCTGCCTCCCTCGCAAGCAGAGAGGACCATGGTTCAGCGAATCATTGGGGCTAGATGATGCAATTCAACATTTGCGAGTCAGAGTTGCGGAGAGTGAAGGTGCATGGAGGGTGAAGTGCAAGACCCATGCCGTCGCCGAAGTTGCGCTCAAGACAGTACCTTCCGTGTCCATAGAGAATTCAAGTCCATGGCACGTAGCTGCAGGTTCGTCTGGATTTGTGTGGCTGTCAAGTTCCGCCATCCTGCCAAGACGCGAATATCAGCATCCATGCAGACTGCAGACTTGACATGACCTGAGGCATTGTTGTGCCATTTGTGAATCAATTGGCTGCAGCTCAGATTCGGAGAGCGACACTTAACCCGACTTGCTCAGATCATGAACTCGGCGAAGCCAATCCACAGAGACAAGACCACTTTTAGTTTTCGTCTCCGCTGAAAGCTGCTGCACTTACAATGCTACATTGCTACAGGACACTTCACAATTCCTGGACGCAGCATCTGCAGGCCAGCATCGCTTGAGTGCGCTGAGGTCTGTGTCCCGAAAGCCCCATAGACGGAAAACTGCAACATAGTAGGCAGTTTTTTCTTCGCCGGTCTTGCCCGAGGACTGTTTAGTTCTTGTCTGTGTGCGCCGGTTCCCTCCTTATGTCATTCGAAATCTCTTGGCATGGGCTTTCTGCACAGTCTTGTGTTGTTTTGGGAGCAGTTGGTTTGGATGTAGCAGTCAACCTGATACTGTGAGTGTCTTTGTTGTGTCATAAGGGCGGTGTTGTAGCTTTAATGATAAGTGACCGTCGGTGAAGGGCCATTGCATTCGGGCTGACGCTGGTGGTGCACCCATATTGCAAGCAGCAGTGATTGCGACGATCATGATGACGATCATGAAGTTGATTGTGCTCATGATGGTGATGCTCGTTAGCTTTCATCGTTCCACGGAAGTGTCGGATCGGCAGAGTAAGCCCCAGCCTCTGCGCCATTTAGTTTCGCACTGATTCGAGTTGAAGTTGGTTGCAAGCAAACCCCACAGAACTCCTGATCCATCTTGATCAGTCTGCAGGAGACTGAAGCGCCTTTCGCCGTAAGCGAGGCCCACGAATCCCTGGCAGACTTGGAGGCAGGTTTAGTTGCCATGTGCTATGCTCAAAGCCAGTCCGCAGTATTTGATTGAGGGCCTTCTACCCGTGCTTAATGTGTCATGCTAGTACTACGCACTGCAACCAAGTCTCCCTGGGGCTGAAGCATTTGCTACCTACCAGTCTGGAAGCAGTCTTTATGTCGTGCAAGAAGCGCAGCAGCACATGCGAATCTTAGCAAGAGCACTACCACTTGTGCCAACGTCATAGGGTCGTCCAAACCCTAGCCTCAAACATAAGAACTTCCCTCGTACGACGACGAGCAGTGCTGGTGCTACTAGCGGTAGCATAGCTACCACATGAGTACTACCACCACGGGTGCGACTGCTGCTGCTGCTGCTGCTGCTGCTGCTTCCAACCCTACCGCTACAATGTATGACTTCGATGATGGTTATCAAGTCCGTTTCGCACTGCATAACTTACTGTGAGTTCAGCAGGGTTGTGAAGGTAAGTTAGCAGCAACAACAAACACAACAAGAAGTGGTATAGCAGAAGCAATTGAAGTGCCACAACTAACAGAACAGTTCTCGTCGGCATGCTAAAAGCATCTTTTGTCGCCCGCAGAGCAGCACACGCTGCATCCGGAGTGGCCTGTACTTCGCCTTCGACGTGGTCCACTACTTCGATAGCCGGCCTGTTCCAGGGACACGGCGGAGGGATCCTGGGGTTCGATTGCAGCTTGTTGGGCGTAAGCCTCGGCGGTCCCTCAGATAATCGAAACACACCTAGCATGTTTACGCAGGGCCCAGTAGGTAGCTATGTCGTTGTTTTCGGCTTCCTGCCGCCAGCGACACTAAACAGCTTTCCAATTGCATCTGTGCTCGTGCAGTTGAGCATTAGCGCTTGCAGTTTGTCTCGGACTCTTGGGATACCATGTCTGAAACCTAAAAGGGACCCTCATTGGGGTTTTGGTACTTATAAGTCCCTGAAATAACCAGTTCCTAAACCCTAAACCCTAAACCCCTATACTCTAAACCCCCCCCGGGAAGAGCCGGAGAGACAGGACGAACGATCTCGTGACGGACACCCAGGAGAAGGCGATCTTCAAGCTGGCCATGAACGAGGCGCCACAGAGATGCTTTAATATAGTAATATAGTCATATAGTAATATAGACATATAGTCATATAGTAATATAGTAATATAGTTGTATAGTAGTATAGTAATATAGTAATATAGTCACAGAAAATATCCCTTGTGTTCGCGTTTGGTTCCGCTTGTTGAGAGCTGTTTCTTGTGGACTTTCCTGTAGCAGTTTGCAGTGGCTCCGGGCTTGTCGCATTTAGTGATGATGTCGGTGATTCGGATAGTAATGGTCCTGGACCCCAAACCTGAAATACAGTGAATCTATAGTGTGTCTACCGCTTTCAGTGCAGATGTCTCAATCCTCAACTCTCCCATCTTCTGCTCCTATGAGTCGAAAGCGGAGAGCAGATTCAGGAACCTTGAGGCCTAAACCGTAAACCCAGAAAAACCCTAAATCCTAAACCTCGAGATGCCACAGGCCATTGAGGAGGAGGAAGAGTTAGCTGCCTTTACCGAGCGCGCAAAACGGGAGGAGCCCGCAGCTTTGCAGGGCAAGGGTTTAGGGGCTTCAATTTGTTGTCCGTTGCTTGTAAAGGTTTGTTTGGGTGCAGGGCTTCGTTCTCAGGCCTATGAACTCGGATTTCATACTGCTCAAAGTTGGAGAGCTTGGGTGGATGGAGGGTGAAGCCACAGTTGGGCTGGCTTTCAGGTTCTTGGCTTCGCGATCCTCGGGCTAGCTGCTAAGATTCATTCCGCCATGAGCCGATATTGTCAATGTTGACAAAATTGCCAGGATCATGGCTGTCCTGTTAAGGCTATGATTATAACCATCGCAGTCATTACCGTTTGTAGCATTGCAGCAGCCGTGCTACGTGCTTAGATCGCCGGCAAGTCTTCTAAGAAGCCGTTTGTCTGCGGACCCGCAGCAGGAGAAGGACAGCGAGAGGACAGCCTCTCGCCCGAATACTTAACCAAGTATCTCAACTCTTACCGTCATGATTTTACTTGTGCCGGGTGGGGCAGGGGGTTGGGTGCTTTCATCTGTATCGGAACTCAAGTGTGAAGGCGATTGGCCCGGACAGGAAGGGGTGCATGTGGCCATACAATGCATGAGCAGATTGAAAGTTATCAGGTCGACCTTCGTTCTGTTATAGCTACGTTGTTGCTGACGGTGCTTCACCATATAATATTATGTGTATATATACATACATATACGCACACGCACACACGCATGTATAGGCACAAGTGTCATATCATATCATGTCATATCATGCCATGCCATATCATGTCATGTCATTTCATATCATAAGATGTCATACAATAGCGTGTGACATTATTTTAAGTTATGTTATGTCATAGCATATAATCCATACCATATCACCTCATATCATATCCTATCATATCACACCTATATGTATATATATATATAGAGAGAGAGAGATACACGCTACAGTTGTGTTATATGTATGTGTGCATGCAAGTAGGCAGTCATGCAGGTAAGTATGTATGTACGTATGTATGTGTGCTTGTGCGTTTGTGTGTGTACATTAGCTGCGTCCCTGAATACTAGCAGACGAGTGTTTCAGGTCGTGGCCTTCGTGGAGGATCAGACTGCGAGGCTCTCCTCCGAAGCCGCGGAGACCTTGGCCCAGGCACTGCAAAGCTTGGCATCCTGGGCAGCAAGGAGGGGATCTCTGAATGCCAACGTTTTGCAAGGATTTTGTTCTGTTGCTACTGCTATGGAGTGTTTTAGGGTGTGCAGGTGGGGTCTATGGGGGTTCGGAATATTAGGCCTCAAGTTCCTCGATTCCAAGAGGTGCTTCTCCAAGGGTCCCTCACAGAAGCCATTTCTCGTTTTCATCTGGAGTCTTTGTTGGGGTCCCCGTGTTTCTGGGATTCCAACGCATTCCGTAATTTGGAGGAGCCTTTTTTGCGGGGTCTTTTTTCATTATGCCAGAAGAATCCTAGAGTACGTGGGACTCTTCTGAGGCGTTGCACCCCGACCGCAAAAAGCCAAACCCGAAAGCCTCAAACCTGACACACTCTATTGCTATAGAACCCGTATGCAGCTTAAAAATTGACAACTTCCGGTCGAGCAGCTAGGATTGAGAGAAGCTCGTAAGCATGACCTTGCCGCACAAAAGCCAAAAGACGAACATCTTTGAGCGCCCAAGAACTGTGGGGGTTCCTGAGACCACAAGAGAATCTGAAGCTGTTTATCTGCAGCGTATGATGACAGTTTGCATGCGTCATGACTCATGACCCCTGTCTTCAATGCCGGCGCCACAAATGCAGAGCATGGGCAGTTGGGGATGTTGTGTCAAGCGCCTGGCTTCGAGCCCTGCCACCAAACCGCTAGACGCGACCTCACACATGCGGGTCTTTCAACTTGGCAGTATGCGAATCTTAGACTGAATGGGGACCTTCAAATGCGGACCCAACAATGGAGAACGACCCATCTGCTCTATAGCTATGCTCTTCGTTGAGTCGAAGCTTCGACGAAGCCCTTAGCGTCATTGTTTTGCATTGGTAGCCTGGCGTTCATGACTCGGTATCACATTTAGACCAAATGATGTCTCTCCCAGAGCGCAATTAAGCCAAGGAGAAGCACCAGGCACTGCATTTCTTGCTCCGCGGTGTTGCTTACAGAATTGCACAGAATTCGCTTTCAGCTCGGGCACAGTGGTGCACTTGGCCGGCCATCGGGTAGGTTTAGGGTTTTAGGGCCTTAGGGTTTAGGGTTTCGGCAGAAGTCGTAAGGAGTTTTCTCCAAAATAATTTTTAACCCGTTCATTAGCAGCTCAGAGCGCGCATATCACATGTTGGCACGGCGCCAACCTGATTCAGAAGAGAGCCGAGGGCTTGCTGTCTAGATCTTTCACACAGCCGTCCTCAGTTTAAGGAGCTTCTTCAGTGGACTGTTTGATTCGACCCCGTATCTTGGGGCCAAAGGCTCAAGTAGCAATCCCTTCAGCACAAGTTCATGAATCACAGCTCTGTAGGCAAACACCAGGTTCTCCATGCCTTCCTCTACGCCGTGTCAGAACGTGCCACGTGCACTATGCTGCAGATCCACATCGAGCAGCGCGAGGATGCGATGACGGACGCCGTGCGGCAGATGCACGCGCCGCTCGACAGGAGTTACCAAGACGCTGGCTCATAAGCCTTAAGCCATGTTAACCTGCTGCATCAATTCCTCGAAGATCGGAATGTCAGTAACTAGTTAGTTAATTAGTCGGCTAGTTAGCTAGCTAGTCAGTCCGCCAGTCGTTAGATGTTTTTTTAGTGAGGAGGAGTTAGTCAGCTCGATATCGATCATGACCTGGATTGTTATCACTCTTGAGATTGTGACTACGCTCGCAGATTTTGGCCTGGCGGATCCAGTTGGGGCAGTGAAGATCTGCGAGCCCTTGGAAGCTTCCCGCTCGACCCCACGCCCTACGATGCCCACACCCTGGGTGTAGGGTTCAGGGTGTGGAGTTTAGCGGTTTAAGGTTTAGGGGTTCAGGGTGTAGGGTTCAGGGGCTCGTGCAGGGAAACGATGGTAAGAGGCCCTCAAAAATAGCAGGTCTCACAGAGTTCAGGTGCACCCTAGAGTTTCAGGTGCACCGTAAAGTTTCCTGAAGGCCTCAAGCCCCAAAAGCTCAAGAGTTTGAGCCACTTCGGCTTAAACCTCTGAACCCATTGAGCCTAGACGCCCTAGGCTACACAAAACCCGAAGCCCTTAAACCCTGAACACTAAGTATTCAAATTAAATGCGAAAACAGGCCGAAACCCGTGTATATAAACCCGAAGAGCAGAGGACATGGAAATGTGACCATAACCACAGTCCAAACCGAAGAAGGCACAACGAACTACCTTAAGCCCAAATCTCGGAATCGTAAATCCCATAACCCTGAATCCCATAAGCCCGGAACTGTAAACCCCATAAGCCCCAAAACCTGGAACCCAAGCCTCCTATCCGAAACTCCCCGGGCCCAGGCGCCTGCTTCAGCTGCGCAGCGATGCGGCGATTGCCACTCGCCGCCTCGAGAAGGCGATCCGAACTTGAAAAAATTGAGCGCATGGGGTTTAGGGTTTATAGGTTTGGAGGGTTCATATGCTTGAGATGTAGGGGTTTAGGGTTCATATTTTTGTTGGGGGGGTTGGGGATGTTTAGAGTTTGGGCTTTAGAGCTGAGCTTAGGGCTTGATGCTTGGAGTACAGGGATGTTCGGGGTTTAGGGTTGGGGTCTCGGGTTTGGGGTTTAGCTTCCTGCAGGCAATTGCAAGTGTGCAATGGTGTGCAGGCCTTACAGGAGAGTTGTTTGGAAATAGTCAACTATAACCTATTGACCTATTGTTGCTTCATGACCTCAGTTACCGAAGCTCCGTCAAGTCCAGCTGGCTAAACGGACGGACCCCTCACTGGCGACAAGCACACGTGCACACAAGTTTTGGACTGGTTTGTTCAATGAGATAAGTACGGAATTCGCAGTTTCATCAGTTGGCCATCGGAGGTTGTTTTGTTGGTGTCGCTTGGATTTGGTGCATTGTGAATCTCCAATGCCACCCCTGGTATTCGCTTCAGAGCTTTGCGTCCGGGCAATCGTTGTTTGCCGTCTCCGGTGAGCGGTTGTCATCATTGGGTTGCCAGCCGAGCTGAAAGACGCCGAGTCTCTCGCTGTAGGTCCGTTCAGCACAAACAGTGCAGAGGTTTGCTTGGTCTTGGAGGGCCTTAGCTTAAGATCTTTGGCTTTAGCAATCGCCAGTTGCCGAATGCCTTCATGGCTGCTCTTGGTGCTGTGATTGGCAGGCCCTCTACATCCGGGAGCAGCGGAACAAGGCTGGTGTCATACAGCCGTGATTTTGTTAGTTGGGTAGATCTGGCGTCACAGAGACGGAGAGATCAGGGTCGTGTCTTGCTGGAAAGCAATACGCTCCTCTGCAGGAGTGAAACAGCCGGTGTGACAGGCGACAGCCAAAGATCGAGTAAAATCAAGAAAGCACATGCACTTCAAGGTTCGTGAGTATTGCAACATGTCAGTAATCGCCTCCTTCGAGAATATATGCCTAGCAGAAACACGAGATCTCAAGACAAGCATTGCAAGCAAAACTGACTAGAAGCATATGCAACCATTCACAATAGTGGTCTGCAAAACACAGGCCCCATGATCGAAGCTGCTGTATTCAGATATGTTTCAGCTTCTTCAATCCCTCAACCTCCAGCCCTGAACCGAAATCCCTGCCTTAAAGACCACTTGCAAGTGATTATGAACCTCAGAGCATCAGGGCAGCAGTGCCTGGCGCAAGCGGAAGGACCGACATTCTCTGAGGGCTTGTCGGATTACTTAGAGGTTTGAGATTTAGGTTTTGCTTTGGGATTCCGGGGTTTTGAGCCTGAGGCTTTTGGCCAACGGTATGGCTTTTGGAGGACTTTTTGGTTGCAACTCGGGCTCAGGTTTGGGTGTCCGTTGTATAAGGCTCAGGACTGAACTGAAGGTTTTGCACGTAGGAGGTGCAAGAATCAGAGCCGTCAGAGTGGAAAACTGTTCGGTCAAAGTGTTCTTTGCAGATGTTTCACAAAGCCGCACCCAGCAGAGGGGTATTGGATGTAGCTAGTAACAGCTTGATGTTTGGCCACATCTCAACCACAAGCTCCAGCAACAGAGGCATGTCTCGGGGGGGGTGCATGTCTAGAGTTATCTTTCCAAGTCGGAGCTTACATGCAACACTGCAAGTCGAGCCGGTCATAGCATCTCGTGCAGGTCCGCTAGTAGCATACTAGTGGTATTATGTTCTCGTGCTGAGGGCAGCGACTAAAGCCAGCAGTCATACTGGCATCTGAAACCAAAGTGTTAGATAGTAGCCTATAGAGCCGAATAGTAGTAGTGACAATGACAAAACCACCCTACATCCTGAGGTTTCGACCGTAAAAGCCTTGAACCCCCCCCCCCTCAAAGACCCAAACAAAAGACCGCGAAAGAATAACTTCGCTGCAGAAGGCTCCTGTTTCCGTGATGATTGAGTCGTCCTTCGGCTCTGACCAAGCAGAGGCCTTCCGTCTCTGCCCTAACCCCTAAACCCGAAACCCTAAGCCCTGCAGGCAGGGGGGCACGTTCATGGCTACTTCTGGGTCGAGTTATGAGTAAGTGAGGTACACAAACGAATTGGCCCCAATTTTTGCTGTGCTTCAGATTACCGGCCGCTGGCCATGGAGCCATGTGCAACGAAATCAGGTGTGGATTTCGTTAGGCATTTGCTTGGTCTCCTCACAAGCGATCCCTGGCGGCGTGCAGGGTGATTTCGGGTGTCCAACGGCATGCACCTGGTACCCCACATTTCACAGAAAGCCGCTGCCCCAACAGTCTCCACACGCTCAGACTCCTCAGCTCTTGCAATTCGGCCCTTTCATGCGCGCAAAAGGAGATATGTACTCAGAATGTCTTTTCGCCAGTCACGCTAGGTAAGTTTCCAAGCAGCCAGCATTCCAACCACTCTGAACCGCTCCATCGGGATCAGGGGAGCATTGCGATTCCGCTCGGCCCTGGTATGTAGGTTCAGGAGTAGTCATGAACGGAGCCCAGCATTGAGAGGTTCATTAGAGCTTGTGGCCATCTAGTAGAATCACACGTCTCTTGCAACTTGAGACTTCTAAGTCCCTTCATCCTCGAAGTTTCCACTCAAACTTCAATGGGGAGTCCTAGGGCCTTAAACTCCCAACTCTCAACCCTCAACCTGAACAATGAACAGTCTTACTGTCCTGAAGAGTAGAGTAGAGCCCTGAACTGCTCACCCAGTTGCCTTTAGACCCAAAGGCCCCAAAGTAGTTCCTTTTGGGGGTTCATAGATATAGAATCCTATAAGGCAATCCCAAAAAGGAACTACTATGGGGCCTCTGGGAAGAACCCGGCCTGCTTCCCCGTTGCTCGCGCCAGTTTGGGGCTCCAACCATGGAGCTGGAGAGGCTGAGGCTGTCGAATACCACCTGATTGGGCCTGGATCGAACACATATGCGCACATCTTATATACTTGGTTATATATATATATATATATACATAGATATATGTATATATATATATACACATCTGCAAGTATGTCTATTATATTCGTATAGTACATATATGCGCATCCATATGAAGCTGTTCATTTTCGGTGTTGCTTATGCAACATGCGAGACGTAATTATCTTCCGACTGCAAGGGGTCGGCAACGACAGACAAAGGAGCGATGTGTTTAATAGTGAAGAGACTTCGATCCATGTTCATCTGGCACAGTGGCCAACGCAGCAGATCGAATCCAAAGCATCCAAGAGACCGGATCAGATGTCGAGTGGAGTCCATTACGAATAACTATCTACAGCTACAGAGATTCTTACATGGGTGTCGAAATGTCGGAAGAAACAAACGAGGAAGATTCCGGTGTGCTCTCGACAGAAATATAGAAGTGAACGGTTCAGCGCACAGACATGGGACTGAGCTGCCATTGGTTTTGTTCTAAGTTCCGGTCACTGTGAGGGTCCTTTATATGCTGGGCCAGTACTGATCGAGTTAGTTAGTGAGTAGGTAATTACCGCGAAGGATGCAGTTGGAAACAGAGCGTCGTGGCAATGTCACAACAGTCAGCGCTTGTTTGGTGGCAGATTTCCCAAAGCAACGTATATCAGCGCACTGCCCCTTGTGGCCCATTTTTTGATCATGCTTTCCGTTTGGTCACAGTGTCGTGCACATAGCTAGAGGAGTTTCACAGCTTGCGGCGTGAAGCTTGAAGCGACGGCGTACTCAGGTCGGCAAGAACAAGTACCATCCTGTTGAATCCGTCTTCGGTCATCGCCATGAACCTTATATATGTGTGCAACGGAGCAGGAAGCAAGAGTGTGCTGCACGAACCGCAAGTGAACCTCCCACAGTTCGTCGCGTTGCGAGGTTCGGCTTCAACATGTCGTTTTAAAGTTTAGGTTGAGAAATGGCTGCTAGTGCAGATGCCCTGGTGCAGTGCGTGTGAGACTTATCTCTTCTGGAACACGGACACCGAGAAGTTTGTCATGGCCGACCTTGCACTACATCTCCAGAGCTCCGCTGAAATGTGGTGGAGCTTTGAGTAGTGAGGCGAAGCTTGTCTTGAAAAAGACCGAAACAGGGTTTCCTGCACAGGCTGCAGAAGAGTAATCTAAACTAGGAGCCTAAACAATTACCAATACTATTGTGGGGGGTTCCTTTCTATAGTAACAGAAAAACATACCCCAAAACCCTATTCTAATCAATAAGCTCCTTCAGTTAAAATGGTGCTGATGATAGGGTTCCGCTGGAACATGCCTTGCAAAGTTCTGTTGGCTTATATAGTTCGTAAACCACTACCCTGCTCGAAAGTATTTCAGATGCCCATGACTGATGCCAAGACTTACTGCTTTTCGTGCATAAATATATATATATATATATATGTGTATATATATAGATATGTATATATATATATATATGTATGCAGATGAATGCAGGTCGATGTTTATACGAACTCAGAATACCGACATACATAAGTGCATACATGCATTTGTTGGTATATATGTACGTCTACATATTATGTATGTGTATATACGCATACACATCCAAGTGTGTGTCATGACATAGATACGCGCTGTTGTTCGTCATGTCTGCGAGCATTTACATGTTGCATGGGCTTTATTAGACTTGGACATACGACCGCATATTCAAAAAAAACTCATGCGAGCCGAACCTCGTGCTGCTCGATCTCGACCTTCCCGTCACCAGGGTCAAGACAGACATGCTGCATCCTTGTTATCAAAGGGTTTAGGGTGCTGAGCGTGTGCACAGCTAGAGCATGTAGTCGAAGATCAACTTGATCTAAGCAAGGCGCGGCAACGTGAGGAAGAGTCAGTTCTCTCGCGTCAGAACGCGCTGCAGGCCGGCTGGAGTTTGGTACGGACGACGTTTTGGAGTTGTCTGTGGTATCCTTGTTTTTTTTGCATCGGTCTCGGGACGGGCGGCGAAAAATAAGTTCGTTCCGGAGCAGCTTTTCTTTTCATCTGCACCCTGTTTCTCAGGGGTACTGAGAAATAATTTGTAAGTTTTGGTTATTATAATCCCTAAGAAACAGCTAAAATTATAATTTTTGCTAGGGTTCTAAGTTCAGTATAGTGCTGCCTGACCACAGGCACCAGCGTCGATCCGATAAGTGTCAAACGGGCATGTGACACATATGCGGCTGTCGATGCTGGAGAGGGCCACGTGTGCCAAGAGTCTGCCCAAGATTCTGGCCAGGCGGAGAAACAAGAAAAACAACGGCAAAGAGCGCAGGCCGTGTGGAGCCTCAGGAACTGCGAGTACATCTCCGCAACGGCGGGGCCACCATCTGCCATATCAACTGCTGTCTGGTTCGGTATTGCATGTTCCTTGCCTGTGCATTTCTCTCCCAGGAAATCTCATGTGTTTGAGCACATCTTCTCCAGAAAGGGTCAAGTAAGGACCAAGATAAATGGAGCGGCTGTTAGTAGGCCGAAACCGTGAACGATCTTTGATTTGTGTTCAGGCATCCGTTCCGGCCTTCAGTGTTTACGGGGGGTACTGCGCCAGCAAAGGTATGTTCAGGTAACCGCTACAGGGCAGCTCGCTCGAAGATGTAACAGCAGGCTAAGTCGCCTGTCGCGGTTTGACAAATCGAGTCGCTCCCAGACCCGGTAACCAGACGCACCGCAGTGCCCTGAATATTATAGCATATTATATTATGGTATAATATGGTATATTATGATATATTATGGTGTATTATGGTATGTTGTGAACCCATCGTTTGCCGAGCCGCTGAGGTGAAGCAGCTCAGCAAAGAGTTTGCAGAGCAGTGACGGCCTCAGAGCAGAAGGGGAGATGCAGTACAGCAGCCTGAATACTTAGTATTAGGATTCCTTGGGCTACTCGATTATGCTTGTTGGTGAGCATGCCTCGAAGTCCTCCACACTGCTAACAGCCGATATGATATGATCGCCGTCACCAGAATTGGTCATTGTGTCCGCTATCGTTTCCGCCATGACCAAGACTGTGCTCGGAACCGCAAGGTTGGTATTGTCCTTATTGTCGTGGCAATAGTTGTACCGGCTTTTTATGTATATTGTGATTGATGCCGTTCTTATTTGCTTTGATGAATATCGTGGTATTAACTTTAGCCCGGAGCAGCAGCAGCAAGAGTAGTGCTAGTCTTTTTTGATTGTGGTGTTTGCAGTAACAGAGCAGCAGTAGGTGATTGAAGTAGCTATTACCCATAGCTGCAACAGTGGCAGCAGAAACGATGGGGACCTCATCACCAGCAGCACGTGCAAGCATACTGACGGAAAATGCCCGCAGCACGGATTGGCGAATATCCGCAGCATCTACACGTAGGGTATGGGAGTTTCCGAAAATAGGGGACCCTAGTATATTAGTACCTTAAATAGTAAGATTCTTATTCTAAGGACCCCTAAATTAGGTACCGCTTATTTTCGGAAACTCCCGTAGAGAGCTCTATCTCTGTGTTTCTCTTTCATTCGTCGCTGTCTCGCTCTCTCTCTGTCTCTCTCTGGCTCTGGCTCTGGCTATCTCTCCCTTTCTGTAGTTATGTGTTTTGACACAACCTCAAAGCTCGACCCCGCAATGACGTAGATCTCTGAAGCCTGAAGTGGGACTGTATAATAACCCCGTGCTGTTAAGTTTAGTTTTGACATGTCCGTTTTCGGTTTTGATGGTTTTCCGGTGAAAAACGATTAGAAGACAATAAAACGATAGCGAAACGATTACGCGTTTTTCGTGGTAAAACGATAAGGAAAATGAAGCGATAACCACACTCAGGGATAAGGATCTTTATACGGGGCTATTATACAACCCCAAGTATTAATTCATCAACGAAGCGTGACCTTCGAGCCCGAGCCTTCATGATTGAGCTGGTGGACCTATTTGGATCCTAATCTGCAAGAGTGGCGAAACCTTTTGAAAGCTTCCTCGGCCACAAACACACAGTCCTAACGCAAAAGTTTATACCAGCAACTTACCGCCTGAAAACTCCAGCGCCGCGTATGGTACAGAAACACCCCTGAACCCCAAATCCAAAGGGACATGGTATCTTGAAGCCACGGGCGCTCGTGCACCGAAAAAGCTAAGGCGCAAGGAGCAGCAGCAGCGGTTGCAGGACAGCGTTTGCTGTTGTAGGTGTTCTTGCTCTCGTTATGTCTTGGGGCCAGACACGGATTGGGCGCCATATATGTTGAGCTGTGTGATGGTATCGACCCGACGTGTGCAGGCTTAAATATGGGCTGCATATAGAGGGCAACATGTACTCGAGTTCTGGTATGTAACTAAGATCCACATGGAAAATTGTTCGCATGCATTGCATGAAATCGCCATATGTGCGTGCGTAGTAGAAAGGTATGTGGTACATGCACGTATGTCAATGTATGTATGTAGGTATGTATGCATGTATGTATGTAATGTATGTATGTACACTATAGCTGACTATGCTTTATTAGACTATGCTATACAAACCTTTGTACATACACAATATACATGCAGATCTAAACTTGTACATCCGTACATTTATACAGTTAAACATGCATACATGCATACATCCATGCATACATACATACATACATAACCTTCATGCATTGGCATACATACATGCATACCTACATGTACACCTACATACATATATACATAAATGCATACATACACTACATGCGTACGATCACATACATACATACAGACAGACAGACATGTACACATGCATGCATACATACATGCATACATACACATACATACACATGCATGCATGCATGCATGCATGCATGCATACATACACACATGTGTACAAATACATCTCTATCCATATACAAATCTGTGTGTTTACATACACATAATCACAACATATACACCGTATGCATGCGCCGAGCATGTACATGCGCAAACCATGAACCTAGCACGACACACAAGAAACCAAACATGCCAGGAGGAGGCTTTACTCCGAGAGCAGCGAGAAGTCGAGGCAGGTCTGTTCCGATGTTGGGCAAAGCCGGGCGAGAAGTTTCGGATGCAAGTAGGATTTCAGGTTTGGGTAGTTTCAGAGTTTGCAGGTCCACTGGGGGCCGAGGTGGCTTACAGATTATGTCGTGTTTCTGAGCCAGCAGAAGATGCAAGACGCCAGAAGCATGTTCTCGTTGGCCCGGTTAGCTCGCGCGGATCACAGAAGCAACGTTGTCATCTACCAAACGATATAAGACCCGGATTTCTTTCTTGAAAGCCTCCGAGCACTTATCTGAAAGGTGTTGCGGCAACGTGTGTCCAAAGCTGCAGCTGGCGACATTAATTAGAACTGACAAAAGGGTCCATGAACGAGGTGCGTTGCTTCGTTATGACCGGAGCCTTAGGAAATGTTAGCAGTGCGAGCATACTGCAGCATTCGCGAAATGTATGATGCAAGAGGTACTGGTATATTACACGCACCTGGAAACCCTTTTGGACGCGACACACGAGCTAGGCGGCTCCTGATTCCGCCTTCAGCGGAAAGACGTCCTGCTGTAGGTGTAGGGCAGTGTAGGGGTGAAAGCTACAGTAGGAGAGTTTAGGACTTTGGACTTAGAATCTGGACATCTCAAGCAATTTAGGTGGAACCAGCAGCCCTTCGAAGCCGGTGTGCACCTAGCCATGGTGTCGTGCTACAGCTGCGCCTCTGGCATTGGAGCTTGGTAGCTTGACCTGAATTTAAACAGGTGTTTCTGAACAAGTTGGAGTTGTTACTAGTCTTACATATATGCATTCTAAGTCTTGTTTCGCGGTGAGAGCTCCTCTTCAAGATGTAGACGTGCCAGGCATCAAGTATTGTCATTCACGGCGTCCTGGTTGTTGAATCAGGCGTCTTCGGATGTTCAGGAATCCTTTCCGGCTTTATCGTCAACCCACAGATCGAAGACGGCGGGTCGACAGAACAGAACGAACGCATCCAAGTTCGAAAGCCCGAGACTGTTTCTTCATGAGGTTTCAGGTTAGCACATGCCGGGGGAAATGCTCTCTGCTGGTAGGCGCGCTACAGGTTGCAAAGCTCGTGGCAGGAGAAGAAGCGTCCACTGCCTGTAGCGGAGTGCTGTCTGTTGAGCGCGTACTATAGACGTGAAGGTTTCCGAGCTGGACCGCGGCTGCACGTCGGCAGCATCTGCGTGACAGAACACAGTCCTGGGAAGACAAGGAGGACGGCCCAAAGCGTTCTATCGGCATCCAAGTGTGCAAGCGCATAGTTATACCTGGGAGGAGTGTCTATACTGCGGCAGGACGAAAGTTTGACCCCCCTCGTGGTTTCATGGAACAGATCGCGCCATTTCTTCAGTCCCAGCATTATAAATTATTAACCAGTACCTACGTATCGTGTTGCAATGTGCTACTTGGCAGCGCCAGTGCCCTGGATTTTCTGGACATTTCCCCACGAGAGTCACGAGAGTTCTTAGAAACACGCCGTTTCTGAAACATGCCACAACCTCTTGCAAAATATATCTGTATGAAACCAAGCCGGGCCAGCTCTGTATACTCCACCAACATGCGTCGAAGCCTTTGCGGTCTCGCGGTGTGGCTTTCAGGAGGACGACGGCAGAGAAGTGTGCCTTGCCGGCGAAGTTGGGTGCTGGAGCTCGTCGTTTTGTTGTGTGTCCCGAGATTTCCTTGGTTCAGAGCCAAAAGGACTTGGTGTAGTAGTTCTAGTGTCGGCTTCCGTGGTGGGTCTGGGGCTCCCCTTTGTTTACGTCAGATCCTTGGACTTCGGGCCTCGACGTGTATGTCTGAGATGCATTTCGGACGCTTCGAAAGCCGTCTGATCTCAGTCCCTTTGAGTGATCCCTTGACTAACCAGAAAGCCAGACACTAGACTTAAATACGTCGGCATGCGCCTTCATGGCAGGCATAAAGAGATAGCACACCACCACCGCCTCCTCCACCTGACTCCTCCTCTTCCGTCGACTGCTACGTCTAATGAGTCTGCTGCTACTGGTACTGATTCCACCCGCACTGCATGAACCGTGAACTTCAAGCCCTACTCGCCAAAGAGAAGCCAAGCAACCTTACCTTTGGTTCCTAGGGAATGGAGGAATGGGGTACACTTTTCAGTAGCTATTACTACCATTCTTCCATTCCCTACTACCCAAAGGTAAGCAACTCGCCAAAGAGAAGCCAAGCAACGAGGCTCCTCGGGAAACTCCATGCCTTCGGGCTTCGCGGAGCGGCTGCCGTGCGTCAGGCCGCGGCGAAGCAGGTTGGTCAGGCCTTTGAGGCCTGGTTCTTGGGTTCCCTGCGGGGAGGCTCGCAGCTTTTGGGGGTTTAGGGTTTAGGGGGAAGGTTTGAGGGGGGCTTAGAGATTTTGGGGTCTGCTGTAGAACAGGGAGGCTGGAGCAGGCTTTGTCAGCGTTTCTTGCGGCCTGGAGGGTGGTTGTTGTTGGACTGTTCGGTTGTCAGCGTTGAGGATTCGTGGAGCGTCTTCCTCGGGTTTGAGGGGTCGCGGACTCTGTCTCTAACAAATTTAGGGACTTCGCACCTGACATGTCGACGGTCTAGGGCTTCTTCTGGAAGGTACAGCGTTCAGGGTTCGATGGTCAGTTCATGTGTAGAAATTACAAATTACAGATTGAGTCTTCGCACCTGAGTGCACGGTGCTTGCAGGCAATGAGCACATAACATTCATCTGAATCTTGGACACCACCTTAAAGCTCGGTGATGAGGTGCTTTGTTGTTTCAGTATCAAAACAGCGGGCATAGAGCATCCACAAGGCAGAGGTTCCGAGGCTGTAGGTTCTCATCTGTGAGATGAAATCTTACTATCATTAAGAAGCACCCATATCCCGGTATATTTCGGTATGTTTCGACTCCTCAAGCTTCCACAGATCCGCATACATGCTGCGGAGCCCAGAGCTCGGAGTTCTAAGCCCGTCGATCTCTGAAGAATTGAACTTTCATCGTGGGAACCTCCTCTTATCCCGTTGGTTTTAGCCAGGGGTACCTTAGGGGTCCTTGAAACTTGGGCCTCGAAAAGACTTTGAATAGATGGCATATAAGATCCACTGGAAGGGAAGGATCCTACACCCTAAAGGGTTTATTTAGCCTAGACCCTAAACCCAAACCTTCTGTTTCGGGTTGTTGCGAGTTTTTGTGGCTTTCCAGGGCTCTGGCAGCAACTGGGAGGACCAGTGGATCAAGTGGAGCCTCGGCGTTCTGATGGCGCTTCTGCATTTCTGTTTATTCAGGCACGTATCAGCACTGTACTATGCAATATCACCGCAGATAAACAAACAGATAGATAGACGGGTAGACAGACAGACGGACAGACAGAGACAGGTCGGTGGATAGATAGGTAGGTAACGGGAAGAGGTAGGTGGGTGGATAGATGCATATATGGTAAGATGAATGGACCGAGGGCATAATAAGTTGTGTATGCATCTGTCTTATTTCAATTCGCATATAGACGAACAGTCAGTGTCTCTCTCTCTCTCTCTCTCTCTCTCTCTCTCTCTCTCTCTCAGTCTGTCCTAAAGTCCCTAAACTCCAATATTGCCCAGGAACTCTCTGATGGAGGTGGGCCACGATCTCTGGGCCAGCACCTTCCCTGCAAGCCGGTCGGTGTAGTTTTAGCGATTGCTTGGACCTTGGGTTGCCATCCTCGTTAGCAGAAGCCCTTAGCCAGGAAAGTCCCAGATCTTCATCCCTACCAGCCACGGCAGAAATGCCGCTGATTCGTGCGAGTGTCAACGTGGCAGTGCGTCACCATACGAATAAGAGTACATGTGCTGGTCATTGTAGTCATACTGATAGTGCTGACAGTAGCAGTTCACCCTGCATCTCAATGCACCTTTCGGATTGAATGGCTGAACAAGGCTTTTGGCGCTCCGAAGTGTGTCAGTAGATATTTCGAGATGTCTGGATGCACAGGCCAGGCCGCTGCACATGACACTCGTTAAGACCCCTGCATGAGTCTCCATGAGCGAACGTGTCGAGTGACAATGGGGCATGCTAGCAGTATGCATCGAATGACGAAGACAGTAATGTGTTTGGACTTAGGGCTTAAGGGAGTTGTAATGCTTGCAACCGAATAATGATTGGACACTGCCCTTGTTGACGAGAGAGAGCGTAAGGATCCGACGCCCCCTTAGCAACTCAGATGCCTCGTCATGCCACCCTGAGCAGTATCTGGTGTCGGCCTTCACCCGACCATCCCAGGTGCCTTCCACTTGATGGAGTCGCTGCTGCAAGGTGTTCTCGTGCACCAAGGAGATGTGCAACTTTCCCGCACCCATGGGTCTTTCTGCTGATCTGCAAGGCAGTGCAATAGGCTTTGTCCATATGTCGGGGGATGTTCGCCACTCCAACGCAAAACTCTAGGCTTAGAGACACATCATCAGAGTATGTTGTGCGTAAGCCCAAACCTACGAGCTTTGCTTTGGAAGTCGCGGCTGCGTCCTCGAGACTTCCTCTACCCGTTCCACAGGCCGACAAGCTCCGTTCAAGCCAGGGTTTATTCAATTCATACAACTGCGTGGGCGGATGGTTAGAGGATACTTGTCCTCATGACGCTCGGAAAAAGTCTTAGGGAACGCTGAAAATCCCAGCGTTAATCGCCTTTATCCCATATTCCGAGTCGGCGTGGCGAAGGCTCAATCTTTTGGCACACTGGGGCACATTGTTGTGTTCAATCTCCGGGGTGCAGCGCCTCCAGGTGCCTTCTTTGACCCTGTTTGCTCAGGATTCAGGGTGCGGAGGTGCAGGAAGACAACCTTTGCTTCAAGGCGCTTTGGCTGCAATTCGCAGTAGAAGCAACTTGTATCTTCGACGTGCAATGGGCTAAGCCATGAGCAGGTCGCACTTCTCTTCATTAATCCACATGCGTTGCATATACTTGGCAAAGAAGTCCTTGTTGTAATCCGACTACGATATTATAGACACATATCCATATAATATATGTATACGTATTTATACATAATATATATTCATGTATGCATGTATATATATATATATGTATACATATTTATATACATACAAATATTTATCTATCAATGTGTAACAAAAGCCCTCAACGAGTTATACAAATGTCTCCCCCAAAACGGCCCTAAGCTGCGCAACCTGCGGCTCTGTACTCTTTGACCAGAGGCTCCTCAACACCGTCTTTTCCTAGCCCTTGAGTCCCCCCCATACGGGTTGCAGCAGTTGTCTTGCATGCCGTTTACCCACTTCGTTTGGTGGTGGGTTGAAAACGAAGCCGAAAGCAAGAAATCTATCACATGAACTGGTAGGCACCCCTGGCCTCTCAATTGTCTGAACTGCCTTGACTATCGTTTTTCGAGAGGTGTTGCAGGTTTCGGGCATCTAGTCCAGAGGGACGAAGTTCTGTGTGGTCCCACCCTTAAATTGAAAAAACAACATTCTGGAGGATGCTAGGAAGTATACTGTGTGGCACAAGCGCTGGCTCAAATCCTCTCTGGCTTTGGCTTGGAAGTTATCGTGCCGATTTCTCCAACCAGACTGTGCATGAATCTGCAGCATGCAGCCAACATTTTCCAAGGGTCCGAATGGTACTGTATCAGGGTCCTTAAGCAGTCCTTTTGTCTTGTGTTGCCGCCTTTTGTGGGCTTGAAACCGTCGGTCTTTCAGGTCCGATTTTCCGAAGAGCTCACCGGAGAGTTCGCCACACGCTCACGCATGGGGGCTCAGATACGGCTTCAACGCGAGGCGGGCCGAGGAATCGGGAAAGAGGCATGCAGGCTTCGAGGAAGTTCGAAAAGAATGGCATACCCGGATTCAGACAGCAATGCCAAACATAGCTGTGGGGGTTTGCCGACATGTTTCTGATAGTGAGTTCTTGGAATCCAGACACGATCTGCAGGGGCCCGGCACGGATGTCAGCGACCTTCCTGCCGTGAGCGTGAGAACGCAGCATGCATTCTGAGGTGAGCTTCGTCGTCAAGATGCCCGAGGAGCCACCGAATCCTTAGCCACAGCCCTTGCTCTGCAGGGTCTCTGAGAAACAGGTCTTGGCAATGCATGGACAGGCGTGTTCTTACATATTCTTACGACATGGCTCAAAAGTCTTCGACAAAGGGCCAGCAGCCCCAGCAGATTGCTTGAACGTGCTGCAAAATGGCTGGTGTGGTTTAGGGTTTAGGGTTATTCCGAGTCTTTGAGTTTTGTCTGAGCCTCTCCCTCATCACGGTCTCCTGCATGCAAGACGCGCATCCCCGCAAGATTGTCACATCGAACCCTTGCTGTCTGGAGGACTTTGTCGCCAAGCCGCTTGTCGTGGAGGTGGGCATTACGCCAGATTGAAGATGGTCATACAGGCATACAGTAGGAAAAGTGGACGATGGGGCGGTGGAATACACGTTTTCAGAGGCACTAGACTCCACCGCACGTGAGGGCGAAACTAGAACAGGTTCAAGTCTCGAGAAAGAGGAGCGGTGTGGGATTCTGTTCAGCTCCATCAGAAGCACAAGCCTAAGCCTAAGAGCTAAAACGCACACGAAGCCGGTCCTTTCGAGTCTGGCAGGTCTTCGGCCTTGACTTTCCTCCGCTGCCCGGTGCCGTTGAGCTACGGGAGGACATCGTCAGCAAGCTTGGATGCTTGTCAGAACTTGAAGCTTTGGGGAGATGGGGAAGGTGCAGCATGGGCCGGATTTGTCGGTAGTAGAGGTGGCGCTCGAATGGCTGCTGCAAACGGTCACAAAATGAGAACTACGTTGCGCGACACCGCTAAGAAGTTAGACTCAGTTTGTGACATCGAGCAGCTTTGCCGAATGCACTGTGTAGGCTTATATAAGCTCCTCGTCCTGGTTCAACCTGATTTGACCGCCAAAAACCATCATAGACCCCTGAACAACATTCCGAAATCAGAACTTCCTCTAAGCCCCAGACGGCGGTTGAAGCAATGCTCGGGTCATCGGCTGAGGCGACAAGTTCGACAGAGCTGGTGCTTTCCAGTGCTGGGAAGAGCGCAAGGAGGTCCTGTCCGGAGGTTATTAAAATGCAGCGGTCATGAGTCATGATGACGATGATGACGACGCTGATGATGACGACGCTGATGATGGTGGTGGCGGTGGGGGTGGTCCTGACGACGAAGACGGTGGTGAAGAAGAAGAAGAAGATGATGATTCTGATGGCGACGGTGTAGACGATTACGGTGAACCACAACCATAACAATGATGAAATACCAGGCTTTTACGGCAGCCATCATCCTTATTACACTCACCACACTCAACGTCACCATCACGACTGTCATCACACCATCGCCATCACCATCATCAGCAACAACAACAAATGAATCGCGAGTTCAACCGTGATCGTGTCGGAAGAACTGGCCACAACGGTAATAGCATCTGTCCATAGTTTGAAGCCCTGGTAGCCATCAAGCATGTGGTGGTTGCAGAGGTTTTGGTGGTGAAATCTGCATGGTAACAACAAAGCCACCGTTTCTTTCCTCTGGCGGATGTCGGGTTCACAATGAAGGGTTTACGATCCGGGCCTTACACCGTAGCAAATCGAAAGCCCTGAAGGCCTTTGTATTTGTAGATCTGATGGTCGACGCCATCTTGCGGGATGTTTCTGCCTGTGCGGCTGCAGTGGTTTGCAGGCCCTACTGTGTGGAGGAGGTTGATGGAGGCTGTATTTCGGGTCAACAAGGATTACCTCTTTTCATTATTATTGGGACCTAATAATTACCTACATTATTTGGGGGGGTTCCCTATTATAGTTATAGTATAGTATGACCATTAAGGCCCCTATATTCGGCCCCGGGCTCTTCTTTGCTTCAGACAACTCAATGGCCGACGTAGGCCGGTGCAGGAGTTTCCTCTGGAGTCTTCAAAGCTGCGCAGGGTGCATGAGTCGTTGGCACAGTACTACCTGCCACCCGGCGACAGACAGCAAGTTCTTTTCATGCGTCTCTCAGGCTCCCAACTTCAAACCTGTAAACTCAGCCCGAGGACCTACCAGAGGCCGTCTTCCTGTCCTTTCCAGGCATGTTGTACTAAGTTTGTTGTTTATCTCTCTCTCCCTGTCTCTCGCTCTCGTTCTCTCACTCTCTCTCTCTCTCTCCTTCCCTGCATGTGTGAATGTGTGTGTACACGAATGCACCTGTGCTCATTTTCAACAGCCATGTTCTTTCATGAGTCGATTTGTAGCATCACCGTTCTCCAGGGTTCCACCCAAGTCACGGCAGCTGCAGCTCCCGCGGAGAGTCTGACAAACTCGACGCCCCAAACCCTGGACCTCTGCTTCTACGTACTCAAAACCCTACAGTAAACCCTGAACCCTAAACCGCTCACCACAAGGCAAGAACCCGAACCCTTCAATCCTACGGCCTTGAACTGAAGTTTTACTCAAGGGCTGAGTTTTGTCGGCAAACTCTCCGAATGAGGTTTCGACGCGGGGGTCTAAGCCCAGGCTACCCAGAAAGGGGACTCCTAGGGGCTACTAGAAGGCATCTATAAGGCTACTCTAATATATAGGGGCCTTAATAATATAATAATATGTAATTAGAGTAGGGTTTTCCACAGACCCTGACTTTCCTTCTCCGCCGGGAGTTTCGGGCTTTGTAGTTGAATGTTGATGGAGTTTACCTGCACAAATACATACATACACACGTGGGGGCGGTTTCGTTCATTCTTGTGTGTGAGGGAGTGGGGTTCGTAGGGCCTTAAGCCGCAGGATCGAGTACAAGCCCTGCATCCTAAGCCTTGCATCGCAAATTGAAAGCTGCCCAAAGCCCTGAGCACTCGATGCCCAAAGCTCTACAACCATTCCCTAACCCCACACCTATAAGTATCCCCGAGACGCAGAGAGTCTGGTACGCAATACTGAGGCCGCAGTTTGCCGCTGAGAAGGTGGGACGTCTAGGGTTTAAATCGATTTGGGAGTTTCCAACAATAGGGGGCCCTAATATAATACCCTAAATAGAAGGATCCTTATTATGAGGGCCCTAAATAAGGTGCCCCTACTTTTCGGAAACTCCCATTTGAGACGTCCCGGGAGTCTGGCTTCAGTTTTTCAGCCTTCGTCCTGGCTGGGTCAGGACCGGGGACTCTCTGACACGGCATCGGAACTCCTCGCCATCACATTTCTGTACCTGCACTATAGTCCCGAAACCTGCCGAGTCCTAAATCGTGCACCTCATGCCAAACCTTGCGATTAGGTGAAGCGCTTGCAATCTCAAGGTACAAGAGGGCTTTGGGCTAAAAGATGCTCCAGGTGTTTGTTGTGCAGGGTTTAGGGCTGGTGCATTCGTGATGGGCAGAAGTAAATTATCGCAGTGTTGTGGTCCCACAAGAAGACTGGAGCGTCGCACGCAGTCGCCACATTCTGTGATTTGGCAGTCCACCCGAAGACTATAGATAGAACTCCCACTGCAGTTCCCCTGAAGCCCACCAGGTCGTCGAACTCAAAAACGCACGGAACCTCAACGAACTTTCCAGCATGCACGCTTGAAAACCGAATGGAACCCTGGCTTGGAGGCCTTTTGGGGCTACCTCAACGCCCCGCCTGGGGGCTGCTGTCTGCTGGGCAGCCTTCAATTCCAGGTCGAAGAAGAGGAATCTCGGAGAAATGGGCAGACGATTTGTCAGGTCACCGTTTAGGATTGGGTGTAGGGTTAGGGGGAGTAGGACTGTCGCAATCTTGCACAGAGAGATCCAGGTGTTTGGACAGGGATTCGGTTGTTGCTCTTCATTGGTGTGCAATGCGCAGAGAAGCTTTCATGCCTGGTTGAAGAGATGCTGAAAGCTCTGGGATTTTGACTTGCAAGGCGTGTTTCGAACCCGGCTTTGAAGGATCGGGTGCGAAAGATATGGGGAAGTTCGAGATGGTTGTAGTTGTCACTTGCCGGCCTCGACCCACGTACAAGGCAAGGGCCACAGAAACAGCTGACTACAAACTTCACAACTTGTCTCCGGCACTGAACCCTTTAGGATTCAAGGCAGATTCCTGAACCTTGGACTTCTTAGAGCCTTGTCCTCCGCCCATGGCCCTTACACATAATCTGCCAGCCCTACAGCTTCAACCCTCCCCTAATCAATTCGTGGTTAGTTCGCTTTGGTGCAGGAGGCTGGAGGTTTCGATTTTAATTCGGTTTAGAGTCCGGAGCCACTTTCAAGGCTGAAACATGGAACCTGAGCACCTTGCTCCTGTTTGTTGCGAAGGAAGTGCGGGTAACATCGTGCCGGCGACCAGCTCCTACAGAGAGCCTTGAGGAGCCGCCGGCAGGGTGCAATTTCAGTTTGTAGAAAGGCTCAGGTCATGATGATGGTGATGATGATGATGCTGATGATGGTGATGTTGGTGCTGATTATGTTGATGATGACGACGGCGACGCTTATGATGATGATCGAGCATGGCCATGACGTTCATCATCATCGTCAACATCGTACGTATTGTTGATGTTCACGATGATGCCAGCCATGATGTCGTGGTGAGACTCCCTCCCAGCATGTCACGACAGCTCTCCCCAGAGAGCTTGCTTCAGCAGAGAGGATTTGTTCTGTTTTAAGGAATGTGGCTCCTGACCGGCCCGGTTTTGGGAATTATCCCCCACGGCATACCGGCTTTCAGGGGCGGTCTCGCTCAGCCTCCTTTTTGGGTGTCCGACAGTGGTGTTTTAGACCGCCTTTAGCTGGAAAGACAAGCCCCCAATGATGCTCCTGATGCTCGCCTGCCGATCACCTGCAGCTAGAGCTTTCGTCGCTCCCCCAGTCTCAAGGAAGCATTGCTTGCCTACATGTATGAACGGATGTACGCCAGGTCGGCACAGTAGGGACTGTGCTGCTCAGCCTTCCGATGTAGCCAATACGGCATTCAGGTTTGCCACGGCAAAAAACCGTAGTCGTGTCAGAACAATGCATCGGCAAGACGATGCTACATGATCCCGGAGTGGTAAAGATACGACGACTCAACATGTGCGCCGTGCTTTGCCTTGTCTCAATGCCGAGCCAGATTTAGACGAGTTCAAGAGCGAACAGTCGCCTCGACAAGCTACGGTAACATTCTTATGAATCTGCGACTGATTAGTAATACCATAAGGAATTCCGACAATATATGTCTCCACGCTTGACTCACTGAGTTTTCACGCGCCGTAAACCAGATGACATAGGGCATCCTGTTGGCTTTCGGGACCTGGAGGCGCAGCTAGCGATCATTGACGAGCTCTGCGTGGAGGTGCCGCATTGCGGCTGACGTGTTGGCTTCGGGCTGGCGTACGGCCTTCGCGAAGATGCGATTGATACTGAGATCTAACAGGGACAAGATAGTCCATAATATGGAGCCTGAAGTACCTGGGCATTGATTTGCTAGCTATGTAAGTTTCAGTTGTCATTTATGGCTGTTAAGGTCACTTGAAAGCACGTGTTCATAGAGTCAGTCATGGAGTGGCTATATGTATGCAGATGTCATCTACCATTCAGCCATTCCTGTCAGCCTCTTAACGAGAATAAACGCGATGGATGTCGCTTTCTATCGCAAAGCCTTCAGTCGCAGCTGCCGTGGCAAAAGTTTCCTCGAAGCTGTAATCGCGAGCCTCGTCCTGGGGAGATCTCAGTGTGGATGTTGGACGGGGCCTCGGCTTGGGGTTCGTATATCCCGACATTCCATTGTACCTAGGTCGTGGGGCTTTTGGGTCCTAGCTTCCACCAAACTGGAAGGCCAAGCAAGGACGCTTGAATTTATCGTACAAAGCCTAAATTCCAAAGCCCTAGACTTTAAACGACCCAATTTAAACCGGAGGTCCTTTTGCAGGATCGTTTCCTGGGCGAGCGCTTCGCGCCCTCGTCGATGAACTTTCTGGCCATGACGCACGGCCATGCAGCCGGACAGAAGCCTGGCCGAATTGACCGAATCGGTTTTTTTCTGGATTTTTTGGCACAGGGGTTTGAGGTTTTAGGGTGTGAGGGTTGAGGGCGGGGTGCAGGGTTTAAGAGTGTGGGGCTCGGGGTGGTTTAGGGTTTCGCAGGCCAGCAGGCAAAGGAATCTTGACGAGTACGCGTAGCTAAGAATCATGAAAGGCTCTACGAACAAGCGTCCCAGGCTGGGTCCCCAAGAAGAGTACGTCGCTCCTAGATGAACGAGCCCAAATGACCCTAGTTTTGACAGCCCCTTCGCATGTCAGGCCCTGAACTTTAGGCGAAGTATAGCAGTCAGCCGGCAAACTTAATCCTAAACCCACAAAGTCGCAAACCTTAATGATATCAGTAAATGCGAATATGAACAATATCGGAAAACACGAGAACAATGGCAATAATGACCCTAAGCCCAAAAATCCTTATGCTCAAGCAGGAAGGGAGCCGATCCGAAGAAGATCGCCAAGCTCCTGTCTGCTGCAGAGACCTGGGGTCCAGGCGGGTCGGCAAAACAGTTCTGTTTAGTCTGTTTCGGGTTTGTAGGTTTAGGGTTTAGAATTTAGGCTTCTTTAAAGTTGAAACAGCGCACAACTTAGCATACAGCGTTTTGCTGTGCTTGTAGAGTGTTTTCACAGTGGTCAAGTGAGTCAAGGCCCCTTACTGATCAGAGTAGGGTTTGCTGCATGTTGTGTCATACTGATACAGGGACTAAATATTGCTGCTCCTTCAGACCTCTCTGCTGAGAGTGTAGAGTCATGGTGGCGGAGGGGGGCCGAGGGGACCTCGGCAGTCTGGCTTGCACTTGTTGGTTATCAAACCGAGCACGATGCCGTTGCATGCAAAAGTTTCTATAGAATGCGAACCTCTCGTGTTGAGAGATGATCACGAATCTTGTCGGACCGTTGGTCAAAGGGTGTCTCATGTGGCACACATTTCCTAAGCCTGGGTCAGGTCGTGCTTTGCTTCGTGCATCCAATAAGAAGGAGTCACCACATAAGAGACGTGTTGACTTGTAGCTAGCGATGCTTCAGGCGACAGCGGCTGGACACAATTCGACGAGACGTGGACGTGTACGGACGAGACACTTTGATGTGCAAGCTTTGCTGAGAGATGTAGAACGGAAGGAAAGATCGTGTGCATCTCCTTGGAGATACTGTATAATTATGGGAGAGACCATCATGATATAAGCGACTCCCCTTTAACCTATCGACTTTAATTTCCCTTCCCTGAGCCTTAGACATCCGCCCAGGAAAGACTGGTGGGGCAGGACTATCAGGGAGCAAGGACGGGTGATCTGGCACAAGCCCGGCTTCGAGCTCACATGAGGAAAAAGCGTCACACGGGCTTTACGCTTCTGAGGGTTAGGGCTTGGGGTTTAGGGTTCGGGTGTTTAGGTCTATGGGGCCTGGGGCCGAGTTTTCTTGGTGTGATCTTGCCGGTCATGGGTTTGGGGCTTCTCCGCCACTGCATATCTATGAGCCCATGTGAAATTATAACACGTCCATCTACAGCCTCGCAGTCGCACGAGGCACGCGCCAAGCGCATGGCGCGCAACGCAGAGGTCGTTTCTTTGCGACAGTGGGGGATCCAAGTATGTCTGGCAGAGTGCTGCCTCAACTATGAATGCAAGCAGCTTGCTGTGCACATATTTTAAACAGCAGATACATAGACGGTTAGTTACGGAAGCAGGCATGCAGACAGACAGACATACAGGTAAGACGATTTACGTCATTGTTCATCCACCCTGTCTGCTTTGCACACTTCTGTGTGCACGCTCGCTACGGTGGAACCTCAGCTTTATCTTCTGTAATGTTTTGCCGAAGAGTGTGAATTTACTGCCGCATTCAAGCCGAAGGACTGAATTGATGTAGGCCTATACTATCTCTTCAACACGGTCACCAAGATTCTGACACGGTGTGTAACGCAGCAAGCGAACGGACTCGCTGTCGCAGCACTTTAAATTTCTCTTATTATGGTTCCTTCTTATAAGTACGGTGAGGCTGATAGATAAGTGGAGGGCGGCCAGACCGGCAAGGCCACGGAGGTAGTAAATAAAAGTTATGGCTGATGTCCCACATGTTTAAGAACCACAGGCTACCATTTAATAAACTTGGCGGCCTGGGCTTGAAGGCCACGGAGGTAGTAGGAAATGTCTGTTTAGACATCTGCAAATCGCATGTTTAAACATCGTCACTGTATGCTATACTATGTCCCCAAAACCCTATTCTAATCATTAAGGTCCCTACATCAGGGTTGATTTGGCCCAGGCAGATGGACGAGCTCAAGAGGCAAGAGGCCGGGCCTCCTTTGATTATGGGCTGGGGTTGAAGGGGCGTTTTAGGGGTTCTAGGGCTTCTTGGGTTGGGGATTATAGAGGGGTTTAGGGTAAACGGGCTTACGGGTTTAGTGCTGTGTGGGGTTTAGCGGTTGGAGGAGGTTCTGCTTCATGTCCTCGTTACGTAGCTTTCTGGCGCTGAGAAGCCAATCTCTCATGTCAGGCTGCACAGAAGCGGGTGGCTTTGGAGCAGGAGCCTGCTGAACGCTCTAAGTGTGTTTGTATATCTATATATACATATATATATGTGTGTGTGTGTGTATGTATATGTTTCTTTCTTCCGAAGTATGTGTATACATACATCTGTATATATATACACACATACATACATACATACATACACACACATGCATACAGATGTACACACATACTCATGTATATGTACACAGTGACCGATTCACCGATTGAACACACAAGAAGCTCATGCACCTAATGGTGCTGAGCAGTCCCTGGACCGAAAATGTCCGAGACTTCTATGCCAGAAACCTGTCAGTCCCTGGCACGAACCGGACTAGCCGTGGAGCTCAAGGTAGCCAGCCAACCTGTTCGATGCATTTGCAGGTCATCAGGACCACGACGACGACGACTACTACTACCGTACTCCAACCACTGCTACTACTGCTGCTGCAACCGCTGCTACGACGACGAGTTGTAGCTGTCCTCCACCCATCGGCTCAACTGCCAGGAGCAGCTTGAACGGGCTGCAGCGCTAGAGAAAGCTATGGCTGGGATCTCAGCATCTAAGTCTGTAGGAACTGATGCGAAGCCTGCATAGTTTTCAGAAGCTGTTAAAAAAGCACAGGCAAGTCGACCTATTTTGGGGTCTTACCAGCACTGCACTGCCAATGTTTGTTCTATCACATTTGTGGGGTTTCCTATGGTAGTTACTTTCTTGCGACTATCCCTGGCTGTCACTTCGGTCCTGTTGTTTTCGAGGCTGTGCAGGAAAGGCTGCTTCGGCAGCGATCGATTCAGTTTTCGGGATGTCGCTCGAGCCTGCTTTTCGGGCATCTTTTGGTTTTCTTGCTGGGCATCTTTCGGCTCTCGGGAGCACAGAAGGTCTCCATCTCTTTGCGCCTTAGGATGGCGTCTAAAGAAGCAGCAACCCGAGCACTTCGGGTGATAACCTGCCGCCGCTTCATTGATGCTTCTGCTGACACAATCCCCCCTTGAGGGACCCAACAAGGGCATAGGCATAAGCATCTTACTGGTATGTCCCTACCTTATTGGGCTGCAAAATCAGGGGGTTATATGAGACATCCCTATCCGTAGTTTTGCTTATTTGCTTCTTTGGGGCTCTATCCCTGCACATTTCCCACGAGCCGAAGCTTTGAGGAGAAGCTGAAGGTGGAGGCGCCCAGGGACCCGGCGCGGCTGCACAAGGCCACGGCATTTACATTCCCGGGATACGTATGTCTCTCTCCTTTAGACTTAATGCCTCCCCATGCAGCACTGCTGAGGGCTCGAAGGGTGTTTTGGATATGGTGCTGTGAGGCTTGAATTGAAGATTGTAACGAACAGAAGTATGGCGGTCGCAAGATCTCACATCCTGGATGTGCAAAATTCAGCCTGACCCGCACTCGGATTTACGCTTGCAGGAGAGGTTGAGTATTTGGAGGGGTCGGAGCTCCTTCATACCGCGAGCCACAAGAAGCGACCCTTAATTGCAAGCTACTAACAACTGACTAATTACGAAGTGTTGGCTTCTACCTACTCACCACGAAGCACCAAGCATCAAGCACCACCTCCTCCTCCTCCTCCGCCTCCTCCCCCTCTGGCCACTGCTACTACTCCTGCCTCTACTGCTGCTGCTACCGCTACTGCCACGCTTCCCACAGCTTGCGCCGGCACACGAAGGCCCCTGCGCGCCTCTCTGCCGAAGCTTATCTCGACCCGATGGTCTGCGTCACCCGAGGGTCCGCCCGCCTGCTGAGGGTTTCAGGCTCAAGGTTATTGTGGGAGTTATGGGTTTAAGGCTCATACAGGGTTTATAGGGTTTATGGTTTATATGAAACTATGATTAATATGGGTTTAGGGCTCATATAGGGTTTAGGGTTTATGGTTTATACGGGGTTGTGGGGAGATATGGGTTCAGGGCTCATATAATAGGGTTTATGGTTTTTATAGGGTCATTATGGGAGATATGAGTTTAGGGCTTATATAGAGGTCAGGGTTAAGGGGTGGGCCGGCAGTGTCACGGGTTCAGGGTGGGCTGTGCCTAAACATCACTACCATTTCCATTGCTTTCTTGGTGGTTGCTACTGCTAGCGGCGAGCCGCCCAGCCATTCTGCAGTTCATTACTGTACTGACTAATTAGCCTTCGACCATCATTGGTATATGTACTGCTGTTTGAATAGTGATTGCTTGGCATATGTTGTTATGGGCGTTGGTTTCGGCCCGCGTTCCGCCTCGCAGCCCAAACCCGCAGCCTAGTCCAGTCGACTTCAGCTGTGGAGGGCCAAGCCAGAAGCGTCCGGTTGGGTTTCTGGCATATGCCGTTATCCACATGTGGGATGTCCCAGCAGTCCGTTCTCGCTTCATTGAACCCTTATCCTATTTATACTTGTGTATGCCCTGCAAGTCGCAGACTTTGAATCCGAAGTCCTACAAGCACAGGCATCCACAAGCCATGGACAATCTAGACCTCCCCCGTCGGCTCTGAACGAACTACCTAGCAAAGAAGCCACCGGGTAGCCAATATGTCCAAGATTCTTCGATGTATGAATTGTAGTCAGGCGGCCTGAGCGTGCGCCGGGTTTGAGGATATAAGCAGCGGCAGGGGGAACTGCCACAGCAAAGAGGTATGCCACAGGGTAGCGCAAGCCTTGCAGAAGAATGAATGAAGACATACACGCGTACATGCGTACATTGACTGACATCCATCCATCCATCCATCCATCCATCCATCCATCCATCCGTGCATCCGTCCACCCATGGCAGAGACAATGGTGTACATGCATGCATGCATACAATGCACACATGCATGATATGTGCATACACACATATACATGCATACATACATGCATGCATGCGTGCATGCATGCAGAGAAACAAATCGTTCACTGGTTTGTTTACTGCTTCTGTATACAATTGCTCGTGCATCCACTACAAACCTGTTCACACCGGGGCAGATATGTTGCATGGAATCCAGTGACCCTGCGCCTTCGGAGTCCAGTCGCCTTTGCAAGGCCGCATGCGGGCTTCGATGAGAGATCCCTCATGGCCGATGCGAGATACAAGCTCTCAGCCGCGTTACAGGCCCCTCAGGGCCTCTGTGGATAGGTCGTAGGATAGATGATTGAGATCTGGCGTTGAGGATGCTCCTATCGACGTGTTCAGTTTGGTTTCACAGATAGGGTTGAAGCGACAAAACTGGGGATGATAGCCTGCATTCTTGGATACGAGAAGTCCTTCTCGTGGGTGCGATGCCCCGGCGGATAAGATACGTACCTGAGGGTTTCTTCAACAAGGAAGTGCTGCTTGAAGTGATTGCCGCCAATGCTCCTGCACTCCTGACGACTGAGTCTTTTGTGATCGCGGCTCGGCCAAACAAAGATCGTTGGAACTTCAGCAAGCGCGCCTCGTAACTCTCCTCACGAAAATTTTATTGCTAAATCCCTGCAACACCGCCAGCACCTACAGGCCCTTGTGACGGCCTGAGCACCGATCCTCCCTATGCCAGGCAGCAGGGCTCTACGGGACAAGGGCAGGCCACGAGGCTTGGCCAAGGATTTACAGGGTTTTTGTTGCAGGGTTTTGAGCTTCAGTGCCTCATCGGTTTGACCAAGTTTGGTTGAGCTCCTCGGAAGTGTCTCATGCGACCGTACCGCATACTCCAAGCTCTGCAGAAACCGGGCTTCGTAAAGCCCAGCACTTTGAAATGCGAAGCCCGACGAGCTCACACACCCCAGAAGCGCGAAAAAGCTGAAACTCCCGACCCTACAAACACTGTGAATCCTCTAGTCCCCAAGCTCCAAACCCTTTGGATGACCATAAACCTTCTAGTCCTTTACCTGACTATAAATCCTCAAATCTCCAAACCCGAAATCTTTAGCAGTTGCAGGCGCTCGCCAGGGTCGCAGCCCCGAGGCCTGCACAGCCCCACATCGTCTCCCAGGCACCAAAGTAGGCAGAGGTAGAAGAAGGGGCTATGATTATACTTTTCCAGTTATATTTTTTGGTTTACTATAGCTATAGTATAGTTGCTGTAGTTACTGTAGTTACTATACTTATTATGATAGGGGTATATTAATACCATACTTCATAATTGAAGCAGGGGTTTAGTGGGGGGGGGGGCAAATCTCATTGTAAGCATGCAGGGATTAGGAGAGCTTATTGGTATGCATTCAGACTTTGTTTTTATTCAGTTTTTGGGATGGGAGTGATGGGTCAGAGAGGAGGATTTGTGAGGGCATTGGTACAGGGTCAAGCTTAAACAGGGTTGGGGGCTTGGTGGGTTTGTGGATTCGTTTTGTTCCTCGTTGATGTTGGGGTTTTGGCTGTTGGGACGTTCGAGCGTTTGCGTTTTGACTCGCGGCGGCTCGTGTTGAACCTTGAGATTCGAGCTTCGAGTTTAGACCGTGCGTGCGATTCCTGAATGTATCTGTGAACTGCCAAGACGAGAGGAGCTTCAATGACAAGTGGGTCGATCGGCATCTAGAAACTAAATTGGAAAGGTATCCAAATCGTGGCTAGCAAGTGACCTATGCTGTACTATACATACGACTTTTGGGCTATTATGATCCCTAGGGATAGAGCAGTAGAATAACACTATTATCATGGAGCACGATGTTTCGTCAGGTGTTCAATGGCGGGTACCCAACCGGCTGAGTGCCACGCCCGAATGTTCGTGCAGTGCGTGCAGCACAGCCGGAGCAACCGGGTGCGAGGAGGTGCGACAACCTTCCTCCAACATCTTTGTCGCTCCCTTTTTCACCGATTTGCACTTCGCATGCTTTCCACGTCCTGCAGCCTCTCGTAGAATCTAACAAAAAACATTGGGAATGGCTGATTGAGGCTGCAGGTCAGCGTGGCAAAGAGAATTCTGAAAGATTCGCTCAGCTTCAAAACGCATTGCTCGCCAGATGCTGACAAAGCCAGGGATTCCCGGTGGAGGCCATTTTAAAACATGTTGCCCTAGACCTATACCCGTGCTCCCGCACAGTTCAGCAACCAAAAAGCCACTGCTATGTGGGCTGTCTTGAGAGTCTGAGACTAGTCCTGACCTATTGCAAGCAAATGCCCATAGGCCCCATAGTAGTTCCTTTTTGGGGTTCATATGTAGAATCCTATAAGGTAATCCCAAGAAGGAACTATGGGTGATGCACAGCAGCATCCATGCTATCGTTCATTAAGGTGACCGGGGCACGCGTACGTAAATCGCTGTGTTCGTGCACACGATACATTTGCACCGCAGCAGAGGCAAGAATGTAGCGTTGATGCAGCTGACTTATGCAAAGAGAGCTTTCATGCATGAACATGCTGCACTCTGAAACCCTAAGAACTGGCTTGATTCGCAGTCATCACACATGGGTGATTGCTGAATACCTAATAAGAATTGCCTGAGATCTCCACAGTGGTAGCACTGCAGAACAGCATTTTCATACATACAAACCTATGTGTAGAACCATGTAGATATTTACGGCATCGATATTCATTACACAGCCCGCAAAGCACAACGTCCTTATCGCACGGCTTGATTCGCTTGGATTTCAGCCTGATCCCTTCGGGTTTGCGAGCATTCCGGTCATGCTGCCATGGGCGACGAGATGATCCGAACGCCGGAGGCCTGTACTTTCGGTTGCACTTCGTGACGAAACGGACTTCGCTACAATTCTACAAGGCATGGAACTAACAGTAAGCGCCCGATGTATGATCCGAATTGCGAGGATGTGTTGAGGCCCGCGAAAGTCCTACCGGCACAGCTTCGCGCGAAATCATGAGCTTTTGACGGAGTAGCCAGCCAGCTTCTTCTCGCCACGGGGCAGGGCTTCTGAGAAAATTCTTACGGAAGCTCTTCAAATGCTTGTGTTCTGGAGAGACTGTATGAGTGTTCAATGAGTTCGCCCGTGCCCTTATGGTACGGACCAGGCTTTTTCGAGTTCTATGTTGGGTTGCACCGTTTTCTGAAACCCCGATGTAAGGGAAGGTGCTGTAGTCTGATGTGGGAGGACGGATGCTGCGGACAGAAAGATGAAACGCTCAGCTCCATCGAAAGGAGCAGCCAACCCTATGAATCCCAAAAAGACTTTAGGGTTATGGTTTAATAGTGTTTCGCAGCAGCAGACAAGAGTGCAGATGGGAGACGACAGGCAAGGCACGGGCACAATGAGCGGTAACGGCATCGATGCTGCTGCGATGTGAAAAAGACAGTTTTGAGACTGCGTAGTGAGTGTAGTGATAGGGGGATGCTGATTGTGTTTCAACCTATTTTCTGTTCATGCAAACAGTCACTTTAAAGATGAGTCGTTGTTCCAAGCACGTCGAGTGGTCAGTGGTCGGAGTCGTTCGGGGGTTGTCCTTATCTGTGTGTGTGTGTCCGAACCTGTGCACGTTGCTTGTCCTTGCTCTAGATGACTGCTCAGCTGATGATGCTGCTGTTGCACCTGCCCGGACTCAATTGTTTTACATATGCCTAATTTTTCTTTGCCAACTACGTAGCTACGCGGCGCACAACCTTCTTACCTTTCCTAGCCTGACACGCTGTAACCTGCAACCCTGAAAGGATGATGAGTTCGCGGAAGCTGACGAGATCCTTTCAGAGCTCAGGAAGAAAGCCGACACAGGCGCCGGGAGTCTGACATGCTTATATGAATTACCTACTCTATAAGGGGGGTTCCTTTTTCTAAACTATGATCTAATTGAACGGATGGCCGACACCACGTTTGTCCGCAAGGTGAAGGAGACCTTCCTTGGGGCGATTGCCTGAGCCGGTCGGGCTGCCGAGAGTGCCAACGGTGTGAGAGTCCCGAGATCTGAGGGCTAGGAGTTCAGGGTAACACGACGACCCACGAGAGTGCAAAGAGTTCCAGTCATTCATGCCCATGCAGACACCTTAAGCGAGAAGCCCACTCCGGCACAGAGCAGATCGATCTTCGTGGTTGGACTAAATCCAACGTAAATTAAAGCCTTTTCAGCATCTTCATGCAAACCCAGGCCCCTCTTTTGTCGACAACTGTGGGATCTGTACCACCACACAGCGACACACAGAGGCCAGGTTCAGTTGGCACGACTCAACCTGAAGCCCGACAGCTCCGAAGCTTGGCCACCCGGCAACTGCTGCTTCGTCGTGCTTGAACTTGTTCTCCCCGGTGCTTAGTAGGGAATGGGGGAATGGATATAGTAGTCTCTATAATTCATCCCCCAAAATAGTTCCCATAATCCGTTCCCCCATTCCTTACTAAGCTCCAGGGAGTGTTTCTGGATCCGGCTGAGGTCCTGGGAGGATGGAGTTCTTCGCGTTACTCGCTCGTGCTCCTCCCCGGGCTGCCATCGGCATTTGGGCTCCCGGCACACAGGAAGACTGATGATGATGATGATGATGATGAAGAAGTCGATGATTCCTAGTGTCCTAGTGCCCAGTGACACGGACCTTATATACTGGGTGGTGGAACCCGGGTCTCAAACACGAACAGAGGATGAGTCTGTCAACGAGTGTCTTGTCTGATGCAGACCTTCTGGAGTATTGCAGTGTAGGGTTTAGGATTTAGAGCTTAGGGTTTCGGTCTAGTGCCAGTGACGGCTCGGAGCCATGGAGTTTCGACATTTTCATGCCCAGGAAATCTAGGACTGAACTGTTCCGGGCGGGACTTGAACGGCCGGCAGGGCAAGGCTTATCTCAAGCTCTAAATCATGTAGGGTTTCTTATTTAGGGTGCGCAGGATAGGGGCACAATGGCACAACTCCAAGCCACCATCTCATAAAAGTGCTCCTTTCTCTTGATGACCTATTTTTGTCAGTAGCAGCAGACTGAACCCCTCAACCCAAACCATGAACTCTAAACTAAACCTAGGCTTCCCTAAACTATTATTAAGTTATGCCTCATGAGGCATTAGCTGGCATGAAGACTTGCATCCCGAAGCCTGAAACCAACTCCCTCGGGCTAAGCCGCCGGGGGAGGGCGGGCGGGTCGAGGTATGCGACTAGCTCCGACGGCTCATCCCCGGATCTGATCATCCAGGTTGCATTCAGCTGCCCTTGTTTCGGAGTTATCGGTTTTCGGTAGGGTTTCGATGGGGGAGAGCTCTGCAACTGTGCTTCTTGCGCCGTGCCTTCGGGACAGGCTCCGTGTACTTGTATAGCCATACATCGCTGTGGTTTGACTTATCGACGGCTTGCTTTCGAAAGTATTGGGTGGGGAGCCCCTTCAGGTCGGCATATAATTACTATAGATATGGTTTAACAGGCCCTTCCACTGTGTTAAGTATTCAGGCCCCTCTAGTCTGTTGCACCAGGAGTTTCCGTACTCCGCGCATCCGTGCTCCGGTGTGGGCGGCACAGGCGCGAACGGATCCTGCCTAAATACTCCGAGCAAAAACGGCTGGGACGGGCACCTGGTTCAGGTTAGTCTGCAGCTAAAGAATAAATCTGTGTCAGGAAGATCTGATATTTGGGCAACCCATCAACCCATCCGTAGACCTTCCCACCTTGCTCTCCAGACGTGGAGCAGGTGGAATGGTGTGGCCAGGTGTGCAGCAGACCTGTTTGGCTTCGTCGCCGTGTTTTTCCACTTGATGCTTACTATGGTTATTGGGAGCATCCGAGCGTCAGCACGCACTGCTTGTCAAGGAGGATCCCTTAAACGTGGGCGCAATGGCGGGAGTACGATTTGGGCAGGCAGACGCGCACAGGACTCCAGGGAGGACAGTAGCAGCAGTGTATGATAGAATTTGCAGCAAAGATTAGTCGCAGTGCAAAGAAGCCCATAAAAACCACGAACTCATAGCTAGCTCCTAATTCACACACCGAGCGACACCCCCAAGCCACGCCCGGCCGGATTGCCAGGCCATCCTGCTCGCATCGCAGCTTCGAAGAAGGCATTTTGGAGTTCACAGCACAGGGCACAATGATATGGCCAGTAAGTTTTTGCACATTCCGGTTCCCAGCCTGACACAACTCGGCGGACAAACCAAGCAAGCACGTTTGCTCGGACTGCACTTGTCATGGACTGTCGCCTTCGGGATTGTTTGTTCCAGGGCTGCAGACAGCAAGCAACTGCTAGAAACTTGAAGGATGAGTTCCGGCAAGATTTGCTCAAAACCCCGAGCTCCCAGCTCAGACCCAAAAGTACCTTGAAAGCTCGACTTAACGCCTTACGTGGATATATTCTTTTGATTTGGTCCCCACATAGCCTCAGTCCCAGGGCACTACTTTACCTTATTTAGGCCAGACCATGAAGAACAGGTCTGAGCTGCTTTCAGAAGCTTCTGCCGGCAGCCTGGAGTGGGGTGTGGGTGGAAGGGTTCGGTCGCCCAGATAGGGGTTTAGGGGTTTAAATCATTACCCATATTGTTTTCTAGTGTTCCTTATGACTTTTCCATAAAGGAGCCCAAAACCCCATTCTAATTATTTAGGCCCCTATTTCGGTTTGGAGTGGAGGTGTCAGTCTTTGGGCTGAGAGGCGAGTTGCTGTTAGGTATTCACGCGAGAATCCAGTGCTAGCAGGAATGCTCTGGTCTGCTTGTCTGCATGACACAGACATGAACTTGACGGAGCTTGCAGTGCAACAAAGCGGAGCGAAGCCAAGGTTGTGCTTGAACTCGGCGCCGGTTGTGGCTTGGTCTGAGGCTTATCATCCATCCCCATCTCTCTTTCCATCATGGCCTCCAACTGCATGTCTTGCATGAGGGCGCTGGATGCTGCCACCCACCACAGTACACCACTGGCAGAATCACGGATTGGACTAATCAATGCAACCTGTTACACAAACTCCAATATTTCACAGCCGGCGCATAGAACGTTCTCCATGACGGTTTTCAGCCTGTTTGGAACAACCTGGCGCATGGAACTGAACAGTTCTGGGATGCCCCAATATTTCTCACCCGGTGAAGTTTTCGTATCACTCAATGGGTTCGATGCCTTTGGTAGGTGGACCTGCATCGTGAATGAGGAACCAAGCCTGGCTCAGGGGCTCGAAGCATGTAATATAGGGGCCTTAGTAACTTTACCTCATACTAGTTTGGGGGTTGCTTGCTATAACTATAGTTTAATGAGGCCCAAAACCCTTTTCCAATTATTAAGGCTCCTATGTTATGCGCTTATGTCTAGCTGCCTGAGGCCTTCACGAAGCTTTAGGCGACTCTGGCGTAGGAGTCGGCGGTCGGAGCCACTAATGTAGCACCACCATCCGAAGCCCGAATCCTGCAGGGAAAACACAAAAATATCCTAAAGCCCCAACCTGTTGAAACACTCCAAGATCTTCAGAAATCCACAAGCCTTCCGAATTCGGGAAGCCCTCAAACCCTTCGCTGCACCGAGCCCGGTCTCGCTGCAGCGTCGCTGCTGAGAAATGCAGGTGGCCTGGTGGCACTCAGTGCTGGCACGACCGCTTGTATGCATACATAAATATACATGTCTTACCAGCATATAATATATATGTACATGTACACGTGCATGTATGCCTGCCTGCATGCATGTATGTACGCATGTACGTATGCAGGTATGTGTACTATGTTTGTATATAGATATATACAAGTTCATATTCAGTCTAACTACACATGCGGGTGAGACAGATCAACAAGTAGTGCTCGCAAAAACTATGCTCGACGTTTCTTGTTATTCCTGTGACTGGCAAGCCTTGTCTGCTGCAGCAGGGTTTAAGGACGTTTTCTGGACAACATGTACTTGACTCGGTTTCTTTGCTATCGGCTTTGATCGAGGCATGACCGGAATTTCCGCATGTATACCTGGAATTATGACATGCCGGCAGTTCTACTGATGTCTACAAGACCATGGGCTCAACTGAGTTAGGCATGAGTTCCAGGTGAGTATGTAGTACGGACTTGGAAGTGCTATATTCATCGGTCTGGAACGGCGGACTCTACACATCAGCTTCCTTTGTCATCACGCACGTTGTTTCTCTGACTGCTGCAATCAGAATTCGTTTTCCGAGAGTGCCGCCTTCGGATCTTGCCAGAGCACAGTGCCAAGAAGGGAAATCTGAGACATCGGCACTTTCACTCGCCAACTAAGTCCGCATCCCAGGCGAAAGTCGCGTGATCTTGACCGACGGCCCTGAGGCGAATAAATTGATTCAGAGACGGTTCTATATACTATAATCATAGTTATAATAAGGAACCCCCAACATAATAGATAACTATTTAGGCCACTATATAATAATCTTATAGTAATCGAAGGCTCAGAACCCTGAAAGATCGCTTAGAAGAATCGGGTACCGGCACGACACCCCAAAAAAGCACAAGAGCGACACAAGATCACATTCCTCAGAGGTAGCAGGTAGCCATTGCCGTCTTTTCAGGAAAGCTGTCTTATTCGCAATAAACAATTGTAATCGGCGAGTTATCGGTCATGACTTCATCAGGACAGTTGTTCACTGCCAGCTATCAGTTGCGATGTTGAGTGCCATGCCACGGTGTCGCGTTCGGCATTTGAGCCTTTTTGCATGTCATAATAATGTGTGCTGTCGCTGGAACGGCCGCAATGCACCGCCTGCCGCAGCAGACACGTTTCGATACTGGTACTGTTACATTTGGTTTGGTGCTCACCGGCGGTTTGCTTCAGCGTCCCCACTATTCATCTGCAGGGACTGAAGACGCCGACTTGCTAAGGTGCTAGTGCCACATAATCTCCTTCTCTACCCAAAGAGCAGAGTACCTCACCTCCAACGAGTTTTGGCTCGAGTCGAGGCTGGGAATCTACGTGCAGAGAGCAGACAGCCAGTCGCCCTACAGGAGTTGCCCATGTACAATCTGCAATGAAACGGCTCGTAGCCGGAACCTGACTCTGCACTTATATCGACAGCCATTAGAGCTACTCAGTGTGATATCAGCCGCTGTGCCTCAGCGTGCCGGCCCTGTGCACACGGCATTACCGCCGCAGCAAGCAGCGTCCACTGCCATCGAGTCTTTCGTCTGAGGTTAGGGGCCAGTTCGGGTTGACATCTACTTCTGGGCTTGAGCCGTTCTTGCCCGCCATGGGTGTGGTGAGTCTGCAGGTCGAGCTTTACATCCTTCGATCGCTTTACATCGCAGATTCCCGATTCGTCCTGGATTTGCAAACACACAGCCAGCATTGTCAATTTGTCTCGGCCGATGCTGCATGAAACCAAGCCTGAGTCGCGTGGAAATACGACCATTGTGCATTCTGCGTTCCCAACTTCCCTGCCCCTTGACTCGAACGGACACCTGAGCTCTCAAACTAAGCAGGCGAAATAAGCTCAATGTAGCACGGTCACATCTGCTGCTCCCGCAGCTAGTGCACCTGCTGGTCTATAGTCTATATTGTTCAGCACAGTGTTTACACGCACTTCAAAGGGACAGACTTGGTTGTTTGTGCCTGCCCCGCGCTGCTTTATAAATTATGCTCCCTCCTCCAGCTTTGATATTGGTTAGCAGTAACGGTTGGCAGCTGCTGCGTCGCTTCGGCCATGCATTGTCGTCTTTGAAACAGCTGGATGAAGCAGAGGGTTAGTTCATTTCAAGTTTGATTGAAATACTAATCACAATAACCCTGGTATTAACAATAATAGTAATAACCATAATAATAGCAATGCCCAGAATAATCAAGTTTGATTCAAGCTTCAAGCCCCGGCTGCACAGAGCTCAGGTGCGTCATGGGCTGGCACCGTCTGTGGCCCATTCGGCAGGAACCTCAGAGCTGCAGCTCTTTGATTCTGGCCGCAGGGTGTACTTGGAGGATCATGGGGCTTAGTAAGTAGGGTTATAATAGGTTATAAGTACCTTAATTGGGGTTATAAGTAGCTTATAAGTGTAGTTACCTTACAGAAAACCCCAATTACTAAGTCCCATGACCCTTAAGTAGTGTGGAGGGATTAGGGGTTTCGGGTTTGTGGCGTAGGGTTTAGGAGGGGGGTCATTGGGGAGGTGGTTGAAGCAGGGACCCAAGATCTCAGAGCCCCGGCCTCCGACTGCCAGGCAAGTTTTGCTAGCCTGTAGCTTTGGGGTTATGTCCCCAAGGGTCCAAGTCGTAGTCTGCGATAAACTTTTGGGGCCCAAATACCTATTACTACATCGGTGCTTTGACTCTTTGGGTCTTTGACCCGATTTTTTCAAGAGCCCCGGTTCTTCGAAGAGTAGGACACTGTGGCTTCGAGTGCCTGAGGCTTGAAACCCCGTTGAACCGGACAGAGCTTGCGTTTAATATAGGGGCCCCAGTATAATTACCTACGTTGGTTTGGGGGTTCCTTATTAATACAGTTGTAGTATGTTGTAGTATTAGGGGCATCAAAAGTTTGTTGTAGCTATTAAGGTCCCTATATCACGGCCCAGTGATGTAATCCAGGTGGCAGGTGTTTCAGTCCTATTACGATACTGCAGATACTGCGGACCTTATTAAATTGGCAAGGAATGCCATAGGGGGTCTACGTTGGAGAGCAGGCTGTACACACTTAGCTATAGATTATGTGCCCGAAGTATATCGATGTTGCTGCAAGGTCGGTGCCGAGCCTTGTTCGAGGCCTTCCTTCCCATCTGCGATTTCTTGTTTGGGCTCAGCGTATGATTCGGGTCAAGGGCGTTGGTTGCAGCAAAGGTCTTGGAATTCAGAGTCTGGGTTGAGTTCAGTGTCGCGGGTCCGCAGCAGCCACCATGCCACCACAAGCAAAAGGGAAATTTGCCACAACTGAAGATGACCGTAGTTCCAATCTGGATGTTCAGGACTGACCACCTCCGCCGGCAGAATCGCATCGCCGGAGTCAAAGCTGAAGTTCCACGTGGAGAAGGCCTTTCGTGTTCCAAAGTTATCGCTTCCACTGCAACGACAACGACAACAACGACAACCACTTCTGCTGCTGCTGCTGCTGCTGCTGCTAGTGTTGTCATTCATCCCTCAGATCCTGCCTCCTGAGCTGCTTCTCCGAGTCAGTAGGTTCTGCATGCTCGTTCAATAGATGCACGAGCAGTCCCCGTGTCCTTCTCGGCATAGCCCGCTGACCGGAAGTTTTCAGATTAAATCTGCTGGCAGGAAGTCCTGATGAGCAGTGGTTGGGAGTTAATATTTAGGTTAGGTTCATGCAGCTTCCAGGCCGACATCGGCACTTCAACAACCAAGCTATGGATCACGTGTAGAGTAGCGTGACGAAGTAAGCAAATCATGGAAGGATGCTCTGCGCGAGTAGCTGAAATTGGCTAATTGTCAGAAGGAACCAACTTGTTATCTCAAACTCCTGCGCATCGGTTTAGGGTTTAGGCAAACTGCATGAAACTTCTGCTGTCAGGGCTCTGCCGCGCTGGGGCAAAGCCAAGGCCGGCAAGCCACCCATGTTCCGTGCTACGGTTGGTCATATAAATCCAGCATTACCTTAGGGACCCTAAACTATGAGAATTATGGTATAATCCTTATCATGGGTAATGCAGGGTTTATATCATAAAATGTATGTTGCACGCTGCATCCGGAAGCACGCACTTGTGCATGGACAGACTCACACACAATGTCGGAGATTACACAAACAGACAAAGTACATCAACAAGGGAATGCTCATACACACACACACAGACAGACACTGGGATAGACTCAGGTTTCCGGACATCATTGACCTGACTGTTTACTCAGCTGTTTGTCTGTCTCTTCATCGAACTATACCTATCTCTCCATCAATCAGTAAAACAATCAATCTACTTCTCTTGTTCATGTATCCATCTATCTAAATATCTATATATCAATCCATTTGTCTAGCAAGTTCTTTTTCTATCTATGTCATTATCTATCTACAAAAGTCTCTATTTATCCAGCTATCTATCTACCTTTCTATTTGCCCATCTATCTATCTACCTGTCTCTATCTCTAGCTGTAGCTCTATCTCGATCTGTCTTTCTTTCTTATTATTATCTGTCGACCCCCCTATCAAACTGCCGTCCTGTCGATCTATCTATCCATCTGCCTGTGTGGGTCTATGCATCTATCGATCTCTCTCTATATATCTGTCTATGTATCCATCTACCAACCTATCTATCCATCGGTTTGTCTATCTTCACACGGCCGTCAGTCGAATTGGCGATACTTGTCTATTTGTCTATATACATATGTATGACAAGCCATCTATCTACCTTGTTTGTCGTTCTTTCTGCTTGCATGCCTGGTTTTCCGTGCTAGTGTGCGTTACAGAAGACTTGTTCTCTCCCCGTCAATCTTGCATGCACATATACAGTCCGTAGACCTACTTGTGCCTGCAGTCGCCAGTGCTATCCAACCTTGAAGTGCGCACTGCATTGCCCGAGATCTGCCCTACAAAGTCGCAGCATGCCAATACTATACCAAGCACTAGCTCGTGGTTCTCAAGTCGCCCTAAACTTTAGAAACCCTAAACTTCTGTCAGTGTCAGCCAGGGCCTCTGGCGCTGTACGAGTCCCTGGTCGCTTCAGGGAAGCTGAGGGAAGACGAAGAACAGAGGCGCCTACGAGGGGAGGAACGAGGTTGAGGGTTTAGGGTTGAGGGTATTGGGTTTAGGGGTTTAGGGGTTTTGGGTTTGGGGGTTTGGGTATTGGGTTTAGGGGTTTTGGGTTTAGGGGTTTGGATTTTGGGATTTGGGTTTTTGGATTTGGGATTTATAGCAAGAATGCGAGGATGGAAAATTCAGGAGCAACTGACTAGGCGACGAAAGCCTCATGTGATGTGCAGCTACACTTCACTGCGACCAATATGGAGCTCCGACAGTCCGCATACATCTGTACTTAGCACAGGGCTCGAGCAAAGATAAGGATGCCTCTTCTTGATTGACCTTCTCAGGGCGTCCAGTCCGAACGATGCACGATCTTTGCGCAATCGGGATCCATCCTGTCCTCTTTCCCTAACTGCAGGAGAGTTCTGCAGATCTTGAATGCGATTTTCTTTGGTGCGGCCAAGCGGACAGCTCGAGGGCTTTACTTGCCCCCCGGGTCCAACAATGATTTTTGATCTCATAAAACGTGAGTTGAGAGTGCACTACAGGGTTACGGATTTTTGACGTGCTTGCCAACTGTCAAACTGTTCGCATACTTGCTGTACCACATTGCAGTGAGGCACCCAACCGAACATGTCTTCTTTCGGTTTGTCTCTGTCAAGA